ACGGGTGCGGCTGAGTTATCTTTGGTTGGTCATCACCCCGCTGTTGTAGCCTTTCTGTTGAACAGGGGTCTGTAACAGACTGCTTCACTTTTGAGCAGCAAGACAGCTATCACTGCAGCATTTGCTGCAGTGTACCGGTCCTCCTGAAACCTCTCATGACCAATTATATAATTCAGGAAAGCGAGCTGTACAAACACGACAAAGTAGCCAATAGAAGAAGCTCATGTGATCAATGATCCTTGACATGGCAGTCGGATGCGCTGTAGCCGCAGGTTGTTCTCATTTTTCCACTATTTCTTCCACCATTTTTTTTCTACCACTCTTCCACCACTCTTTTACCACTCTTCCACCGCTCTTCCACCACTTTTCCCACTACTCTTCCATCATACTTCTATATTTTTTTACTACTTTCTGAGCATGGAGAGAAAGCGATATGCCACGTTGCAAAAGCCGTACAGTGCGACAGACGCTTTGAAACGGCTTATTGACAAAGCTGAGAGTCTATCCTTACGAGTATACCTTACCAAGAGCGAGAAAAACAGCCTTAGAGCTGCTCTTACAATCTTACAAACAGAAACGAATGGCTGGAAGCGCCAAAGATATCAGCTGTATTTACGCAGCTTGCTGAAAGAATGCGGCGCTCATGCAGTTCTCTTATGTGCAGTTGCCTTGGGGCAAGTCATCGTCGCTAATATGAATCAGCAAAACCGCGATCGACTTGGGGGCATTTTTAAGACTGATACTCGGCTTTCTGGAACTGTTATACGAAAGCTTGCTGCTGTTGAATGCAATTTGCCGGAGAGTACACAGAGTGAGTGTCAGTTCAAAACCAGGAAATCAAGCTAATTACTATAGGTCCCCGCTCAGGCTCAGAGGGTTTCCAGCAGCCAGGAATCCTAACAGAAAAAACACCAAGTGGTAACGCAATGTTTGATACGTACGAACAAGCGGCCATGTTGCCAGGGCCTCAACCAAGTGAATCGATCAATGGAAGACGTGAGCGGAAAAACACAGACAATCAATTTGAAGCTAAATACATTCTAGAACCGGCGTTCACGTATTCGAAAGCATCAGTAGACCTTGTTCCGCAACTCGGGGAACTGATGTACCAGGCGATTGAAAATAGCCAGCAATGGAAGATGGAAAGAGCGGCCGGAGAAGGGACGACTGATTGTTTCGCGACGATCATACCCGAGGATACAAATGCAGATATTTCCATCACTTTGTTGGTTGGGCAGAGGGCCGGTATGCAGTTTCTCGAAAAGCTGAAACTGAAACCTACTTGGTCATCATTACTAGGGCATCTAGCACCTTGACCTCGTGCTTCGGTGGAACTGGAATCTTGGTCTCTGTTTTCACGTCCCTGTATGTTTTCGGCTCACTGGTCGAGGGAGGAATAATCATGATAAGGGTGCCCTTGCCAATAATGTGCCTCTCACAATCCACTCCATCGAATATATGCCCTCGAATATATTCTTCTTCGCCTCTGAGAGCCGCATCTCCGACCTAAAGGCTTCCGGTGTTAGATGCGCCGTTATTTATTTAGATGGAAGCAACACACATTGGTTGACATTTCAAATTTCAAGCGATGGAGCACATAATCAAGGGGCGCGTATTTTGGGCTGTAGCGACCAAGTCTGTGAGGAGAGAATCGCAATTTGCTCAGCTAACTGATATTTAGCTTGGGTAGATGAAAAACCGCAAGGAACGAGAAGCCTCTTTGGCGATCGTGAGTTTGAGGAGCGTGCTGGGTTAGAAACACCAGAGGGATCGGTTGACGGACGTTTTGGTTCGTTCTGGTAGGGACAACGCACCTGGTTAGACAAGGGAACATGCACACGACTTTTATTTCTGATATTCTTCACTCACGCTTTGAGATAATAAAAACTGATACTTTAAAGCCAAAAAAATCCATTTGAGCAATTGCTGCCCGATGAATCATGCTGGAGGGGCAACGGTGTAACATTCTCCCGTAGCTTTATCCGAGGTCATCTCGCCCATTGGAAGGAAAGCGGTGGGGCGGTTCCCGCATAGCCATCGACTATGATAGGCTGGGACGGCGAATGAATAATACCGATACCGATTGGAAGGCATAGCGGAGCAAATTGTCAACTGAAAGAAAGCGGTCAAGAAAAACATGGGGAGCAAACCGGATAGGACATACCTATATGTTCGCATTGATTTACATCACTTACTGACTAGTGATGAGCGCTAGAACTAGTTAACTTACTAGAATTAGCGTCAACTCAAGCCAAGCGTCTTCCACTTAACCTTCCACTCAACCTTCCACTCAACCTTCCACTCAGGAAGTATAACAGCCCCGGGGCAAATGTTTGGGGCAAATGTTTGGCTCACTTTCATTGGATGACAGGCCGACCACCATGAATCCCCGTCCGGTAAAGACCATTGCCATCCCTTATGTCTGCGGCTAGGTAGGAGGGTTCACTCGGACTAGCCTCATGATCCCTGGTGGCTTGGACTCTTCAACCAACTGGGATCGCGGCACCCGATTCTCGAGCCTTACCGGGGTCATCTCCATCATTTTCTGGCTACGCGATGCATAACAAGGCCTTCGTCATGTCAGAATAATTCACGGATGAACAAGCAGTAAGAATAGCAAAGCACACAGCAAAGGTTGAGTGCCAGATTGATCCATCATTTTTTGGGTAAGGCATCTGTGCAATGCGGTGCGTACCCACATCTCGCAGACACTTACCAGAATGGTATTAAGAGTAACTACGGAACTTGGTGGTAGTAGCAAATACTCAAATGAGAACTTTGAGAATTGAAGTGGTTAAAGGTTCCATGTAAACAACAGTTGGACATGGGTTAGTCGATCCTAAGGTATAGGAAAGTTCCGTTTGAAAGGCGCCCTCGTGCGCCGTGTGCCGAAAGGGAAGCCAGTTAACATTCCGGCACCTGGATATTGATTCTCTACGGCAACGTAACTGAACGCGGAGACGTCGGCGGGGGTCCTGAGAAGAGTTACTTTTTCTTCTTAACAGCCTTGCTGTTTAAATTTGTACTGCGCACCTGTATGCATGTAATTAAGCTAGTAGGCTGCTTACATGTGACTTACGCGAGGACGCACACTCACTTGTCTTTCTATATATGATATGACCTGGAGCTCCCACAGCTCATTAAAGTTCCACATAACTGCTGGAGTTATCAAATTATTTTTGAGCCACAAGTAAGTTAGATTTGCTGCATTCGAGTTGATATTTTGCCGATCAACCAACATATAGAATCGTCAATATAGACTTTCCGCGTTTAGCATTACGAGGTCAAATGGCTAACAAATGAAGATGTTATTCTCAACCGTCTTGTTCAAGAATAAAGATGCCCATCCTCGCCGCAGCCAGGAACAAGAAGACCAAGACAGATCTATTGATCGAGAAGAGTTAACAGACTTACTGCACCGAGCTTTGGCTGGACCAGACACATTCGGCCCCGAATGCGACTTTATCTATGACGTTATGCTGCGTACTCCCGAAAATTCCTGGATCCGCAGACGCATGGTAGTCGACTTTGAAACAAAAATCAATATTATGAGCGAAACTGTCTCCAGAAAATTGAACATACAACTACAGCGATTCGAGGGTGACGATATAACGTGGTGGGGTCGGCCTAACGTGAAGCCTTTGGGAAAGCTCGAAGCGTGTTGGAAAATTTGCGGCCTCTGGAAGACATATTCTGCAGAGTTTCTTGTGGTGAAAGACGCTAATTTTGATCTCATCCTTGGAATATCATCCGTTCGACACCTTGGCCTATACAGAACAGATCCGGTGGTTGCTGGCAGACTACGGTCTTCCAGATAGTCAAGAGTATGTGATATCTCCAGACATTATGTTGCTGACGAAATTTTGCCAGAACGAAAAAAGGATCAACTGGGCTGACATTTAAAAAGCAAAGTAAGGCTCCGCAGTTAGCGATAATAAAACGCATTATCGAGTTCCTTTGTAGAGGCTTCTGGATACTCTGCCAAAGGGCGCATGCATCGTATCATCTCGGCATTTAATTTAGTGACATGATGCCCAAATATATCAAACAATAGAAGGGCGCTTTTATTGGCGCATTTACTATCTAGATTTTTAGGGGGAAATATCGCTTTATCAGCCATCTATTGGATCTTGAAGGTTTCGTATTGCCTAGTAATTTGTATGCAGAATCGAAACTCAAAGAAGGTCTGGTCATCCCCCAGCTCTTCCCCAGAAATCAGATTTCGATCCAACAAACACTTTCATAAACACCTAAAGATGATCAAATTCGTCGCAACTTGTAGCTTCTAGTGGCTGCCGGCGGATATCAATGAACTTTCGAAGCTGAAACGTTGCCTCCACTGCAACAATAACCTTCTATGGCTCCCATTCCCGCCCCCTCTCCCTTTTATTTTCTCTCTCGATGCTGTCCATTTATCATAAACGCACGTTTCTATGATCCTTTTTGGCCCTTTTAGTGTTTGAACTCAAAAAGACCTGATTACCTTTGCCTCTTTTGATTCTATCGGGATACTTCAGACATGTGAGCCTTATTGGCTCGGCGTTCTCCAGCAGCGTAGATGATCGAGCAAAGGTTGCCAAGCAAGATACCGCTGCTGAGCGCGGTCGTCGCCGGTGATCGCAGGCACTGAACAAATTGGACCAATGGCCGTAGCAGATTGTAAACCCGGATGGCCACTGATCTACGTATAGTGACTGTTACCAGTTGGACTGCCGATCTTGGCTTAACGATTATGATCACTGGATCCACACTGGGAGTTCATTGTTTCTTGTCTGGTCGTATTGTCCCGCTGTCCCTTCTGGCTTGTATACCCCGACCGTAGATCCAGACCGGCCTTCAAACTCCCCGACATAAGTCTGCTGTAGATTATATTTTTATGAAACGCTTAGGCAGCTATGAAAAGGCAATCGCTCACTATCTGCCAAGAATTTTAGCATATTGTCCAACTTGTTTCCACAGTATATAGATTTGTCAGTGTTCCATTTGTCATCCTATACACAACTGCAATTATTAACACAAAAGTATAGGAGACTGACCCACGCAACCGGCTTGACGTTTCAAACACAACAACTGCTCTCTTAACTGATCCAAATAGGGACCAAAAACTATACAAGCATTGATTGGCCCTTCCCACTTAAGCTTTCCATCGGGTATAGCCATGCCTAGCTCCTTTGCGATTTTGTTCAACACACTGTTCAGATTATTCACGAAGTGACAAATTGCAGAGTCGAATGAGTCTAAATTTCCTTTCTGGAAATGACCCACTAACATAAGAAGTATACCGAAAAGTGAATGGAGTTGCCATGACTGTTCAAACTGTATAAGATCTGCCTGGCTACTTAACCATTCTTCTGTTAGAGTTGGAAAAGCTTGCATGAGGATAAACAGTATGTTGTGTAGACTCGACCGACCACTCTGAAAGCCTACCCAATAGACCGTGCGCACCTCATCAAGGAAAAGATGTAGGTCCTGCAGAAAGAATGCTGCCTGGACCTGCCGCGGGAGTACTAAGCCACAGGCCACCTCGTGGCTTGCACCAGATAGTCGTCTATTTCCATAATTCCAGATGTGCTCAGTTGCCGTACAGACCGGTAAAAATGTTTCTGGTATGACTAGCCGTGCTAAACATACTTTCATGAATTCTTGAGACTCTTTTGATGTGCGATTTGGTTCCTTCACAGCATATGCGGCCAGCTTTACCAAAACGCCCATAACAGAAAACTCGGGAATATTCGTACCCCTAATAGTGTGATGCAAGTCCTGCATTACACGATAGGTATTTTGGAAATTTACCGTAGGAACGATGGCCAACGTTGACATGGTAAGTCGTATTCCGACTCCGGCGAGAAACTTGGATGGATCGGTATTTTCAAGAAAGGCCGCGGATAGTTGACGACCAAGTAATTGAAAGGTATGTTCGTTTATGTGGTAGCTTGCCACCCCAGATAGTCGACAGGACAAAAGGTCGGCTATTTCAAGCCCTAGGCCTGGGATGGCTTCGATAAGGTCCCTAGGAGTCTGTCAGTAAGTTGCTATTATGCAGCTGCCTGCGGTGAACCTACTGTATATTTTCACACATCTTATTCCTCAGTTAGAAGAAAGAATGTTCGATTTTGAGCCTAGTATTGAGAGGCCTAGCTGTTCTTGTATCCTTTCTGCCACTTTACTTCATTGTCAGACTTTTCACAACCGAATTTAAATCATGCAAGGCTGGCGAAGGCTAGATCCAAGTGAGCCAGCTTCCTTTTCTCTTGATACCGAGTCACTTCCGATGTGTACAGCGTAATTGCATGCATGTATCAAGTGGTACTGTAGACGAATAGCGATCAACTTTATGTAGATACCGTGGGGGTACTTGCGATAATTGCTCATTAACGGGCATAGTTTTAGTTACTTATCCGAAAACCAGTCACTATGCCCTGAGTCAAGTAACTTCGCGGGCTGGCTAGTCTTATGCCGCAGAGCCAGCCACAGTACGGCCAAGGGCTCATCCTAATCAAACTAGATGCATGAGGAGTGTTCTAGGCCAGCAATAGACTAATGCTGCAAGAGAGAACCTTTACTAAACCACTAGTACAGGGTAGCATTGTGTCTCATCATGTACATTTCCCACCGCAGTCAGCTCTAGCAATCCCCATCTCTTTTCCCCATGATTACCTCTGGTGCCCGATAAATACCGGGCATGATGTCGCCTCTGTGGGTTTGTGCTCCAACTCTAGCCTCACCAAGGTCGGCAAGAACGGGTAGGCCCGCACAAACAGGCAATGGTCGAGTATTGTAGATGACACGGTCGCTTAGTACTTTTCTAGCGTTTGGTCTACTCATCTCGTCTTCCTCAATTCGAGAAAGAACAGAATTATCCTCAAGCCCTTGGAGTATGTTATTAGAGGATATATCTAGTGGTCAGAGTCAGTCTATTTTATCAGCAAAGCTTCTAATCGGAGTCTTACCAGTATGGATGGTATTATTCCCATGCATAAAAGCCAAAGATATTAAGAGAAGTTGGATACTTTTCTGGGCAAGGGGTTTTGGAAATATTGCATCGGGCAAGGAGTTCTGAAACTCAGTGAAATTCATTCCCAATAGCCGATATACCAGACAAATGTGTTTTCCGTGAGGACCTGTAACCTCGAATGAATCGAGGACTTCCTACATGAATAATATAACCTGATAGAACGACAGATCTTGTTAAACTGAAATTGTTGGAACAATATTGTCAACCAGGCCAGAGAGGTGGAGTATCTTGACCTAATCCACATACCGCATAGCACCTTGCTTGGCCTAGACTTGACCTACCATTCCAAATGACATACCAAGGGATCAGGAATGCATAGGTGTAAACAAGTAGGACTATAAATAGCTAGGCAGATTGTAGTTTAGAAATGACACTTCACTTTTACCCACCGAGCATATACCTACATTCAGTTGAATCGATAGGATATTTGCTTAGGGCAATGACCAAGTCAACCGACAGAAACCAACCTTAAAGAAATCTTAATCTGAGAAAAGAAACTACAGAGAGGTATATCTATCTACACTTCTTAACAGTGTTCTCCTCAACGCATGTGATTAATCCATTCACAACTTCTAGTGCCATAGATTCCGGGATTAACACTGTATCCCATGATCCAATCGAAAGGTCATTAGATAATTGTCGGAAGTTCCAGACAACTCGGATGCCACAGCTCCAGTTGTCACTTTGTTGGGGAGTAGGCTGCAGTTATGTTACTCAATCTGGCTATAAACAAATTAAGGAAAAGGCTCTATAACTCACTGCCTCTAGATAGGAGAACCCTAGGCTGCCGAATTCCTCTTGGACCAGTTTTGAGAGACGGGTTTCCTTGATGCCTTTGACGGGATCTGGTTTTGCCATAGAGTCGTAGTGGCGTATAATCTTCTCCTTTTCATTGAGTTCGAGTAGCGTAAAATGATTGTTCCGATGATTTATTGGACAAAAATGAACTAGAGGCGCTAGACCCAAGGTTTGTTGGTGCTTCTCGATTTTCTTTGCCCATCGTGACAACGGTTTCTCAATCTGCTGAGTCTGGTTGTTCTTATCCTCATCCAAAGGAATGCTCATATTGTATGTGACGTTTGCTGGCTTATCCGATATGTGCATAGCTGCTAATATAGCCCAAGCATCTAGCCACCTACCTGGGTGAAATCGCTGGAATACATCGCATGACAACTCATCACTTCCGCTCACAGTGAAACCGTCATAGCCAGGCTTAGACCCGACCAGAATATTACTTCGAACCCTGTTAATCAATCCATCAACTGCCGTGCTCACTTTACTATGCAGTATGTTCCTCTAAACGAACTAGATTAGTGGAATGTCATTGACTAATAAGCCGTACTTACATGCTGCATAAAAAAGGTATCTTGTAGCTCTTCTAGCTCATTTTCTGCAATTAGATCCTCTTTTTGTAGGTCGGTATAAAATCTGGCAAGATCTGGGGAGCCTTCCCAGAGTAGGAGTTCCAATTGCGAGCTTAGAATATGAAGTAATTTCATATAACACGTGTTGCTTTTGACGTCTTGAATTAGGTAGTCCAACTTTGTGGTATCCATTTTGGTGAACTCCCTATCCCATGTTAATAGACCAGAGAGAATGAGTTCTAGATAAAATTATACCAGATCTTCTGATGGAATAGTATTCCAATCCCTAGCTCCCTGACAAGCTGGGTGGTTAACTTTTGGCCTCTGCTGAGTTGCATGGAAATTTGCTTTCGCCGTAAGCTTTGAATCCCACTGATAGTAGATGGGCTGTTCTTAGGCATATGAACTGCCTCGTTATGCACCGTAACTTGTCCAACTCCACTGATCCATCTCTCTTCGGTCCTCATTTCATGCTTTTCTATGCTGTCTAGCACGTGTGTGGCTGCCCCTCGGCGACCTACCAGCTTACCCTTTTTGGTGAAAACTTTGCTTTGTGCAATTTTGATCTGACCATCGTACCATTCCCATGCCCCCATATACTCTAGCATATTGAAAATAGTTACCTTTCTTTGCTGGCCCGACCCCATATCAAGCACTTGCATCCATGTAGAGCCGTCTGACCATTGACTCCCTGTAGAGGCTGATAATTTTTCTGCATGATTGCCTTGAAATAATTTAAAAATTCTTTTATGAATTTCATTCGGGGCACTATCACGGCGTTGGCTCAGCCGATAAAGAGTTTGGGCCACCTCGAACACATCTTCCATAATAGAGTCACCTTTTGGAATGGAACAATTGAGTGATAGAGGAAGTGGTAATGTTGTGACTTTTGTCTCTGAAATGTCCGTGGGCTCCGATGGTTGCTCTTTGTCTGTTGCCTCGGTGGTAGCACTCGTCGCTTCCGCCGAGAGGCCAGTATTGGGGATCACTGAGGATTTTTCCTTATGATCGATACAGCCCTGGTTTTCATTTTCTTTATTAGATCTAGCAACTTTTGTTAATTCTTAGACTTCAAATTAATAATTAATTCATACCTCAACAAGCGGTTGGTTCTTGTCTTAGAAGACTTGGACGGATGGTAGGAGGCATCCGGGTTTGGCCTCCGTTTCCGTGTAGGTGGATGGGTATTCACCCCGGTGGTCTGCTTTTGAGAAGAACTGAGTCTCTTTTGAATCGCATCCGCGATCCCTTGCGCAGTATCAGGAGCTTTGTCACAAAGCCTAGATATCATATCATGGAACTAACGAGATTAACGCAAGGTAACTTAGGCCAGTTAAGTTTGATTTTATACCTGTTGTATATTTAAAATTCTCATTAAATCGTCAGGGCCGACCGTGCGAGCGATTCTTACAAGCAGCGTATCAACTTCTTCAAGCATTTCTGATAGATGGGCCTGATCACCAATTTTCTCCGACATATTTCTAGAACAAGATGTACGCGAGCGATTTGGGGTCAGGTTGAGTAAAATTGACATATCGGATAAAGATACATAGAGGGAAACGGGCATCTTATAGCCAAGATGACCCTTTGCTTTTGGGCATCCTAGGATGCTAGAATGCGGGTGGTGGCTTGGCAGGCAACACGCGAATGTCAGCTCAAGGAGTCCGTGCGACAGTCACAGTCATATCTTCGCTGCCTTTGGGAAAGTCTAATATAATCCTTTGTCTCCTTGAGATTTTCTGGCCACGCAATGCATAAAGGCCTCAGTTTCATTTTAATTTACGGGGTATTCGTTTCCTCGTCAATCATGGCAAGATAATCTTCGATGAACAAGGAATAAGAATGGCAAGGCTGCCTACACAGGAAAAATTGAGGGCCATTACCACTGCGTGATCAGTACCAATCGGACGATCACGCCCTGGGGCTCGGTCTATTTGGAACTACGTTTACCCTTCCCTCTTCTATCCCGTATATCTCGAGGGCGTTAGCCCACGCGTACTTTTGCCACCGAGGCCGGCGTAAAATTAAGGGTATGTAAGTTGCTACGATCGGGACTACCGAGTCAGCCAAGGCTTAGGTAGTCGTTTCACTAGCCTTCTCCTGAAGGCGGTAGGTAAAGTCCTGTAGTTCGGCTAATATCATTTTAGGACAAGCATAGCCTTTCCAGCCTATCTATGATTCGTAGGATGCCCCTGCCTTATTCGTATGAGATGCAGCAAAGGGAAAACTAGTTAACTGTTACGGACAGACAGGCTCGGCACCAAATACATGTAAGGAAATAAAATGATATTTTTTATTCTTGTTGGTTAAACAAGGAGTAATACGCCTGGATTAAAACTTCCTGGTCCTCGAATGATTTCCGGAAGTACTTAGACACAGACCTGAGAAAAGGGGATGAGAATAGATCTCTATCCAACATAACCACCGAGGTGGCTATTTGAGGTACAGCTGAACAAGCGCGGTACTCAATGAAGAGACCAGTTCTGATCATTTGCAGCAAGCATGCACAAATACCATAACCCAACCAAAACCGTCATCCGCGGCTGTGACTCCGTTCCTTTCGCAGTCCATGGAATAGATGCTGAAAGTTCCAAGTTTCCGTTTCCATCACGTCTTCGAATAGCAACGAGTTCGATATCAGTCAAAATGAAGCTATAGCGCGCGTGGTGTTGCTTCATATAGAAATTGACCTGTGACAGGACTTGCTTGAACTCCATTTGATCATTTGGGTCAGGCGAGCTCCGTTTATCGAGTGACCATTTGAATGACGGTTTGATATCACCGGGAAGGCGGTTCGGTCTCGTATGCGCAGGTAGATTTGGATCATAAACCGCGACATCGGGGACATAATTCATTGGAGTCTTAGCCATCGTTCCAACATCGTAGTTCACGATTGTCAGGCCGGCCAACTGTTGGGTGGAATCCATGTGTTCAAATCCAGAGCGAAGACCCCGTACGACACGGTTCGTCAAATAGTTATCGATCTTGCCCCGAATGGCAGCTTCAGAGTTAACTGGCCGAGCAGGAGAAGGGTTCATGGGCTCATCCGGAATACGTGCCGCGGCTAAAATGTTGCCGAAATGTTGCTGGATGGAAGCGAGATTGAATTCTGCCCAGTGGCCTACATTTTGAATATGCCTGGCTTCGTAACGCTCATTTCGTGTGTTCTGCTTTGACTGCCCTTGGTCGATGACTGGCATAGGGTGAAATCCATGCTGTAAGTATGCCATGAGACTAACTTGGTTTGCCATGACGAGAAAAGACGATTGCCCCGGGGAAAATTGCTTGTGGGATTGTATATATCAATGATAGTAAAGGCCTGGTAGAGAAAAATATACTGTCAGACCAGAGGGGCTTTTAGACTTATTTATATAACAATCTTTTTACTCATCTCTAGCCGAAATGAGAGCATGTTAGTCCATTCCAGTTCCATTTGATCTAAGTGGAATGAGGAGATGGAATAACTGAAACTGACTATACTCATTTCATGGTCGACCGCATGATGTAAACTGGCATTTCCGCTATGAACCATGACAGATACTTGCTTCCGCAGTCCACCTATGAAGCCACTCCCCTTTGAGATTAGGCTGGATGGGTCTATGGCAAGTAGCATGCATAAAAATTACTCAGAATGATCATTGACTGTACAGAAGAAGTAAATAAATGAAGGAATAGAAAGAAATTAATCCAAGTTAGTACTACCAAACGATAATGAATGTTTAGTGATTCTTTTATGGTCGACAAACACAATCCCAATCTAACGAATTCATGCCCAATCCATTCCCAGTCCATTGAATTTATAACAACTAGTAGATCAAGCGCAATATCCTAAACTGATCTGTTGCCGGCCAAGCGACTGATCCTGAAGGATTCATCGCCTTGCTCAACCGATTCAACCGACCAATATATATTGACTTGGCAATATAAAACGATGGATTCTTGGCCGATAAACCGCCGAAGTTTGGCTACTTTTTTTGAGCTTCCCAAGTTGTATAAATAGTAGTGTTTACACGAAGTTAGAATGAACAAGACCTTTATCGCTTGATTTCATGCATATTCCGATTTTTAGTCATCCTTTTAATCTACCTAATCGGCCATATGATCTTAACAGCAGTCCAACATGATAACTAATCATAATAATAAGAATATGCACGGTTCAGCCTACCCTCCTCATGATCTTGAGTCTGTAGGACAGTTAGTCAGAACTATAACCATGGGGAATAAGCCTACTAAAGCTTTGACAAAGTACTCCATCATTTCATTCTCTTCCTCAAACCACGCATTTTGCCTTGGTGAAAGATTGTCTGAGAATGTCTGGGCAGAATCAAAATCAATCCAGAGCACTCTGTTCAGTTTGCGAGATATTATCATATTTCTCGGTTTGGGATCACCATGAAGGACTCCTGCTTGGTGGATATTGTAAAGAGTATCGCGAAGTTGAACAAGATAATCTTTCGAGAAGTTGGTTAAGTCTATTTGCTGAGGGTCCGGTATATACTCAATAAGGACGGCATTCGGAGGTAGACTGTCCTGAAGAAACATATGCAGACTTGGCCAGAGAGTCGGTTGTATTTGTGTTATCGTACCATAGAAGTCGAGAACGACCCCTTGTCTGCATAGGCCCCTTTCTTTCATGCGTCGATATGCGGAGGATTCGCGAGAAAAGAGATTCATGTCATAATCTGGGGGATCCCATTCAGATGGACCTCGATCATGATACTTAAAAAGTTAGTAACGCTTCAGTAATGACCAGAGCTCACTTACCACTTTCATCACGCATATCCTTCCACGAACAATAACCTTGAAGACAGCAGAATTCTTAGACTTTTGCAACAATTCAAGGAATGTCACATCGGAAGAGTTTATTCCATCATATTCATCAGTCATTTTGATCCCATGAGGAGTAAGAGCGTACACAAAAAATTGGAGCTGTACGACAGAAAGAAAGTTGGGAGAAGATAACATAAGTTGCCGGTGTCAGTGTCGACATTCATATAATTATTGCTTTGTCGCGTATTCGTCGTGTTCTGCTTACTCACCGCCCGAGCGGCCCGACTCTTACCGCCTTCCATTACTGCCTACTACTATCTGCCTACTGCTGTTTACCTGTCTTCATATCTGTAACTTTACCAAAGAGGAAGGAGATTGCTACTTTTTGCGTCGTTAGTCTACATACTCTCGAGTAAGGAGACATACAACATAATAGGCATATTGGCTTAGATCCTGCCAATGACCAACCAAAGAATCACTACCGGCTGTGCGAGGTAATGGCATGGTAGCCTGCATACCCATGGGGAAAGTCTGGGAAAATTGGAAAACTATGCTGCGTTTTATATAAGACTATTACCTTCCCATTTTGACAGTGTTTTAATTCTTCCAATTATGTCTTTTCTGGCTTCACTAGTCCAACACTAATTAATCAAATCCAACTAGTCCCGATTAAGCCTAATTAATAGTCACATGCTCGGAAGCGAAAATTCCCCGAACTTAGGTACTGGCCATCAATCAGCCCCGCCAACCCCTCGCCGTCCCAGCCCAAAATATTCCTCCTAAACATTCGTATCAGAACGCATAGTCCACCAGACTCAGTCTACTATTACAGCTATGAATCACGAAGAACCTTCCGAGGAGACACGAACGATCATCGACACGATCCTAAATATCATAAAGGACGGAAATGCAGAGATTGGTGAGAAGAAGCCTGGCACTGGGTGGAAATACTGTGGTCCAGAAATCCTTCGCCAAATTTCCAGGCTGGAGATAGAAATAAACAAAACAGAATTCAAAGTATGTCCTACTTCACGTTTGTTCTACCTTCTCTAACATGTGGCCTAGGTTGTTAAGTCGAACGTACTTCACCTTATTCAAGGGGGAACGCTCCATAACCCAACCGGCCACCTCTATATATTCCCGCTACAAGGAACTGCGACCTTTGGAAATGACGACCCCTTACTACCGTGCAATTATATCTATAATGATACAAGGGTAATAAACGGAGCCAATATTGATCTTATCATCGTCGCGCTTCAGAAGAAATGATATGATATCACAGTTTGGATACCATCAATGCGAGATGATTAGTTTTCGAAATTTCATATTACATTTGCGGTGTTTGGCTGTTTATCGCTAGCGGTTCCCAAAGCCCCTAACATGCTCTCAACTGCACCAGCTATCTCGGGCGTTGAGAGATCAAGGCCACATGGTGTAGGAAGATCTGCGGGTGATATAGCTTGTAGACTGTCTGAGAATGCTGTGGATCCAACTGGGTAGATATTCCTTGCTGGTGGCTGATCTGGAAATGCGATGGAACCAAGCGGCCAGACAGTCCTTGTTGGAGTATCTTGTTGCAGGTCAAACACGGGAGAGTCAAGCGGCCAGATATGTCTGGTTGTTGCGTACTGTGTCCGGTTCGATAAGATTTGAGGGTCAGCAGGCAGAAAATGGTGAGCTGTTGAGCTATCGTTTAAGAACAGTACTGAACGATCCTCAGATGGCTGGGATTCGGGTTGATCATTTCTCTGGCGTTTCTGTCTCTCGGAGGACGCATCAGTGAGGGTGTGTTTTCCATTCCCTTTGGGTATGGCATCTTCGATAGGCTCTTCCCAGTTCTTCGCCTCAACTAACTCCCTCCAATATGGGGACGAAAGAAAAGCATTCGCAAGGGCCGGTAGATGATCGTACTTGCAACGATAGAAGGCCCTCCAAAGAAAGAAGAACGGGTACACAACGGCAAATTGTCGCAGCGACGAGGCACCAGAGCCATTGGGATCACAATCAGGATTAGTACCAGAAGGGGTTTCGGGAACAGAATAATTATCGGTATCAGAAGGATGACTAGGGTTAGAAGAGGTATCAGACAAGGTAGAGGGAGTGGCAGAAGTGGTAGAAGAGGAGCTAAAACGAATTATTGGGCCCCTGAGCCGCACCAAACAGAGAATTGCGAAAAAGCGAAGTTTTATCCCAAACTCAATGTATTCTGATGCCCTTTCCTTGTCCCTGAAGGAAGGGCAGATATCAGCGTATTCCCGATAGCATGCTCCTGTCTTGTCATTCATGTCGTTGGACAAGACATCCAGTCGTCCAGGAATCCCAACTTCTCCTTGCCAGTCAAGAAATTCATTCGCTAGCGATAGGGCAGCTTTCCCAGCTAGATAATAGTCGGTTGGAGTTCGTTTTTGCGAGACGAATTGGATAATTGTAACACGGACGTCTTCGTTTGCGTTATCGGAGCATACATTGGGATAAATTCCTGGCCGGTATGTGAACGTAGAAATAACTTTCTTTTTTTTGTCCAAAAGATCCAGTACTTTCTTGACCGAGCCAGGTAACGCTTCATTCCCTTCCGCATTGGTAGCCTGACTGGTTGAGCTAGGTAGGGCTAGCCTAGCTGTGCAGCGAGGAAGGGCTCCCGAAACGGGAAAGCGTTGCTCAATTGTTTCAGGAGATGACGAACATCGCGGAGCCAGTATTTCGTCCGCAGGAGAAGCTACTGACGCTGGAAAGCCCTTGGAAGGCGAGCCAAGCAGTGCATGAAGCTTCGCCAAGGCGGTTTCAAAGTCACTTCGATGAGATAGTAGATACGACATATCTTCCTCGCGTACGTCGGTATTAGATATAGTTGTAGCAGCTTGGAGTAGTTCTCGCACGTATGCCATGTTGAATATCAGGAGGCAGGAAAGTTGCCTAGGAAGAATGTACGGATGACTGAAAAGCTGGGATTATATGTACTGAAGGGGGACTTGGTCGACCCCTGTAAATCTGCCTGCGCGCAGGCAGATTTACAGGGGTCGACCACCTTGGACTATAATTGGTAGAGGGTGGCTGACGGTGTGATAGTGGCGCAATGTAATACGATGGAGGTGTCCCATTCTATATCGAGGTCAAAGCATCTTCTATGCCCCACTTATAACCCCTCTCCATCTTTTACCTACAGCCAGAATAAAATTGTATCCTGCGCCTTGTCTGTTGCTCGCATCCAAAGTGACTTGGTACCAATAGGAAAGGATGCTGATTCACTTGGTTGCCAGCCTTCCTTGTTTTTTTATTCCGTCGTGGGAAGCCTCACGTAGAAGCAGAAAGACAAGTTTAGTTTCTAGAAATCTAATATATATGCCTGGTGAGAGCCATATTTACACACCACTGCTTTCAGTAGAAATTAACCCTTCAGATAACATTGATCATATTCTCCTTACTAGCCACTATGTCTTGCCTCTGCATTCAATTCCTGTTTAATATGATTTTGCACTGGTCTAATCGGCTTTTTGCCAATACACGCCGCTCTGCGGACCTGACAGATTGGAATCATGACCTTGAAAATAATGAAGACAATTTGCCTACATTACGGGCACAACATGATGAAGCTCACCGTCCGGGGTTCGCTACTTCACGGGCCACCTGCGCTGACGCACAGGACCTGAGCGAGATCCACATACATTCGCATTATACTAAACTGTCTTCCGAAAAACAGCAGTCCAATCACGGAGGACTATCGCTTTCCAGAGCTGCTCCGGTAACAGAGGTGCGCGAAAAACAGGCCCCACAAGCCGCGTCTATCGCAAAGTCATCGTCAGAACTGAGTAACACAACAATCCAACTCCCTGATTTTTCCGAGATGGCGAGTGAGTTAAGCACACACCTTTTACTTGAGAGGCTAAACTGAATAAGAATTACAGCATTACCATGATTTTTCGGTCCCCTATCGGCTACAGGGCCCGGTTGAACACTCCATTCAAACGAAATAGTTGAAGCTGTTGCTGAGGGAAATCAGTGCTGGGAAGGGAAATATTTGTTGAGGACCTTACCAGTATTTAAGGTATTAGTCAGGGATAGTTGAATATGATTATTTCATTTTATAGTTGAAAAAAAAATGCCAACCTATAAGACTTGTTATTTCACTGAGAACAGATGTAGAAGACATTGAGCAAGTTAGCAAGATGTTAGCTAGTATTTAAAGCTCATATTTCCTCTAGACTTTCAGGTAGTTCATCCATTTCCTCCATCTAGCTTTTGAGGGCTTCTCGTAATAGTTTTTCTCGAGCTTCTCTCCTAGCCACGACAGGAGACATCAACCTTCAGCTGGTCTGTGCACGCAGCCCTCGGATCATACATATCAAGAACCATGACACACAATTCGCATAGTGAGGATTAGTATCCTACATTAGTTATGCTAAAATCTAACTTTAGTAGACAGCTGGCACGGTCGAATGTCGCAACCTTTCCATCCGCTGTTAATGGATATATACTAGCAATCATTCCTGCAACCCTACATTTTATCAGTATCAGGATACAGCATACCTTCCCTTAGCACTCAGAGCTACTTCCAGCCCGGTATTTCCGCCACCCGGGGTTTTTCTTCGCATCCCTCTATACCCCAAAGCCGATATCATACCCAAAGGTACGCTCTCATTATATTAACTTAAAGTCAGAATTAGCTAACTAATTATCCCAACTCCCCACAGCTTGAAACCCAATTTGCTTAGTGCCAACACTCTGACACCAAACCGTATCAACCCAGGAACAATGTCCTCCGCATCCGAATCTACACCCAACGCCGGCTCCTCAGATCCCGAACAGCAAGTACGAGTTATTGATTCTCGTCCTAAGCCACAATGATGGGACCATGGCTGCAACGGTCGTGAATTCTCCACTTTCGGTAACCTCCTTCGTCACCAGCGTGAGAAATCCGGCGCCATCCCAAAGGCGGAATGTCCCAGTTGTGGTACGGTATTTACTCGAACGACGGCTCGCAATTTCCATGTTGCACAAGGCAAATGTAAAAGGCGGAGGCTGCGAAACAGCAGATTGATAGATTTGGTACGAATGTTAATAAAGGAGTAGTGCAATCTCAAGGGGAAATCCTCTGGTTATAGCTGTGTGGTATAGCAAGGCACTGCGGAGTACCAGCTGTTATCAAGAAAATATACTCCAGCTCGCAACATAGTATACAAAGAATTGAGGTTCTAACTATCCACCTTGTATGCAGGAAGAAATAGGTCAAAGGGTACATAACCTGATGCCCGTCAAGAGAGGAGAAAGAAAGATGGTCAGTGCAAACATAGGGATATGTTAAAACGATAAAGACATCGCCCTTTCTAGTTGTCCTTGAGGAGCTTCATACTTTGGAACAATTTTTTATTATCCCAAAATTGTTATCATACAGCCCATCCTTTTACCCTACACATCTTGGCCAATCAACAATGCATAACTATAATGTTGACGCCAATGCCGCTGATGCCGCTGTACTTCCTTCCTCACTAGAAGAGCGTACGTAAAAGACTACGCCTATTAACAAATATGACTCACTAATAACCATATCCCAATAAGAAATTGGCTACACCTTCACAACTCAGCTCGGAAATTACAACATTTCTTTGCAAGAGTTTCGCTCATCTTGTCCTGATATCGTGAAGATCAAATATTCTGTATCAGACCAATATGGCAGAAACCTTCGTCGAAGGGCAGGCCTTGGAGACATTGAAGGCGAGGTGAAAGACCAAAAGAAGCCACTTCTTGATGTTATATCAAATGAGATCCGAAAGGAGACAGAATGGACTATGCCAGAATTCATGGAATTTAACAAGGAGAGTGAGGAAGGGGGCAGGGTGTTAAAGTTTACCTTTATTGTTAAAGTAAAAAGCCAGTAATAGAATCGAAAATACATAGAGATGCCTCTTCACGATGTTGAATTGGCCTAAAGGAAGATGCCACTATCTGAAGACAGTTATGTCCCAATCATTATTTAGAGCTTTTATGGGAAGCTTTTATGGGAAATGACTAGATATTAATGGGGAAGGAGATAACTCACTTGGATCTATCTTTGCCAGACTTGGGCTTTTTCTTTTCTTCTATCCCGTCATTAGAGGCATCTCGCTGAAGAAGAGTAGCAGATAGAATATAAGTTCGCGGGCCTCCCCGTTCTAGGCTTATAGACAAACCCATTTTTTCTACCCATGGCATAAGATGTCTGGGCTTATAAGGTAGGCCTATTTTAAGTAGCTATATAATAGCAGATTGCTGACAGACTCTCAGACACATTATCGAAGCCATCCCAGGCCTGCAACCTGACATAGTCGACTATTTGGATCGTCGACTATCGATGCGACCAAGCACGCTCCTAGACTCGGATTCCTTTCAAATACTCAATCGACAAGTGTCCAAAAACTTCCTTGAAAATACCGATCCGTCCACTTTCCTCGTCGGTATCGGGATACGGCTTGCAATATCGACGCAGGTTGTCGCCATCACGATCAATTTTCTGGATTCATACCACGTAATGGAGGACATGCACCACACTATTCGGGGGGTACGGATTTCTGAAATCTCTGTAACGGCTGTCTTGATGCAGCTTGCTCTATATGCTCTGGAGCAGGAAAACCACGCGTCGAGAGAGTCCACGGAGTTCACTAGAAGACATCTAGCACGGTTATGTGTGCCAAAAGATTACGCTCCTGTCTGTACGGCCACTGAGTATATCCACAACTATGGGAAAAGAAGACTTGCCGGTGTATCTCACGAGGTGGCCTGTGGCTTAGTGCTCCCACGAAAAGTCCAGGCAACATTTTTCTTGGAAGACCTAAATTCCTTGCTCAAAGAGACCCGCGAAGTCTGCTGGGTGTGCTTTCATGGTAGCCAATCAGAGCTACAGAAAATACTCCTCGAATTAATTCAACAACTCATCAACACATACCTAACTTTGGCTGGAGAATGGTTGAGGCCTAAGTCCGACATGACCCATTCGTCCGAGCTATTTTCAAATTTCGGACAGGTTTTTATGCTATCGGGCTATCTAAGCAATGGAGATGCCAATCTTTTCAAGTATGCGATTAACTTTATCATACAAGGCGCTGACAACGTGTTGGGCGGAATTAAACCGGAGTTGGCCAGATCTATGCTTTATGGTAACCTGAGTTGGGAAGGAGAAATTTATGCTTCTAGAACATTTGGTCCATCCTTGACTCTCTTAAGAGAACGATTATGGCATTTGAAGGAAGCTGACTGGTTCTTCAAAATGGTTGTATAGTGTGGCACGGTATTTCCTACATTTTTGTATTTTAGTATATGCAGGAAGAAGTCGGTTGACAATTCTATAACCGCAAACGGAAAAAGAAACACAATTTAGTTACTGTTTAATATAGCCGACCCTTTAGGATCCTGTCTGCGCTGGTATATTCCGACATTTTTTTAACTTACATCTCGTTCAAGCTGATGAATTCACAACTCAAGCTGCTGGCGGTTGACTAATTTGTAGCTGTTGCTGCATGCCTTTGAGACGCCAAGAAGTACAATCGATTTGCTGCTGTATTTCATAACAGCCTCGATTATTGCCCTATTAGTATTTAGGATTGCTTTCTTATCTCCTATAATACGGTCATCTCCCCTGACTCCCATCTGTGCTTGTTGAATCAACCTTTTCATTACGTTCTTCCTGCTGTTGCTCTTTCAAAAGCTGGTTATCCGCGCTGCCTGTCTCCCGGTCACATCCAGAGCGCCTAAATACTCTTTGCCATTAGGCCCCCTACTAGGAGTCTCAATCAAGATTAATATAAACACGAAGGCCGCAAAGCACATATCTCAGTTTCCAGCCCACCATGACGAGGAGATCGTCTACAAAGACGAAAACATCATCTAAGAAGGTATAATTACATGAGATGCTGCTATTTATCAAGCGTATACTTATAATTGCAGACCAAATTTACTGCCTGTAGTGAATGCCGCCGCCGTAAGATTAAGGTAAATCTGCTAGAATGCTCGAGCAGTACTTTGACTGACTTGTACAGTGTTGGCCAGGTTATCCCTGCAAATATTGCTTCGAACAAGAAAGAGAGTGTGTGCGGATGGCCCCAGTGTTTAGGGAGACCCAATCTCTCATCGAGACTTCGTCTGCAACAGAGACGCTTTCGAAATCCGCGTCGAGTCACATTCCACTAGATTTAACATCGTCGTGTGTTGGTGAAGCTGTCAGTCTCGAACCCCTTCACGAAAATAGCATGAATGGCGACAACAGCCTGCGAAGTACTCCAAAGACCGCCAACTTCATACGGGAAGACCAAGACAGGGGTATCGATGATAGTATGGACTGTCAGCGCGTCTACACTCTCGGATCTATCGTGTTCGACACCTCAGCCTCCTTGCAGCAGGGCATTACAATAGTACCTATTGAGGCACACATGGCTGATAGTGACATGCACCCCTCTGGACAGGCCACTTTCAAGCTGACCGACAAAACAGCTATCGAGCTGGCAAAAATGCATAAATATATCTATTCTCAGCAGTCCCTTCTGTACGGCGGAGAATGGTACAGCGACATTCGACAACAGGAGCTAGACCACTTGAATGGCCAGTTCGCGACAGCATTAAAGAACTTATACTACAATATCGACTACGAAGCCCTTGGAACGAAATATCACAAGGCATCGGCTGATACTTGCAGTCGTGTGGAGTCCCTGATTTCAGCTATGCTATACTCTCGATACGCGTTGCGCTTTGGCTTGTGGGCGTTCCTATCCGACTTTATCTGATATTTTTGTATGCAATGGTCTATATCTTTTATAATTTATGTAATGTTTTCCTAGCAGTTCATTATTATTTCACCTAGACATTCAGAGCTCCTGTCGGGCAACCTGAACCCCTGGTAGTTCGTGTCCTAGCGGCTGCAAGGGCGCTAAGAATTATTTGTGAACGTGCAAGTTACATTCCGTTCATTTGCTAATCTGGCTAGGACAATGCTTGTTGGGTGTTTTCCGGAATGTCCCGACATCATCTCCCGTGGGTCGTTATGAGGCGCCATATTACCGAGCCCTACCCTTCTACCCGGTTCAACACTGAAGCTGCTGAGAAACAGAAGTATTTGCAAGCTTGGTCGTCTTAGAAGGGAAAAGTTATCTCTCAACTCATCATCATTGGCTTTCATGCTGTGACATTATCCTCTGTGATCGACGTACATTCTTAGCATTCTCGTCCGCATTGACTTTTAAGATTAACCGTTGTGAGGGTGCATTGTAGAGACGTAAGAGCCTTGCCGAGAGATTATTAATGAGGAATTCTAGAAGCCAAACTCGCGCATAGACGTCCAAATTGTCTGCATTCCGACCGACGGGAGCAAACCCCAGAAGCTCAACCACTGGAATGACAATTGGATGACCCTTGACCTGGACGAATAGCCTCGGTACAAACTTTTCGGTTATCTTTGTTTTGTACTGCCGGCGTTGGCGAATCTCGTTCTCGGACATGCCGGCTAACACAAATGGCGGGGCTGCATAATTTTGAATGAATTGAGGGGCTATCTCAAAAAGCTTTGCTGCTTTAATTCTGATTCGAACCTCAGTCAAGTAATACGTCCCGCCTTTGTTCACCTGATCGCTTAAGATCGAAAGAAGCTGGCTAATGGTGAAGGCATCCTATGAGAATTTAGCTGCATCCACAGACCTATATCCAGGATGATTTACCATTATAATTGCAAGCTACCAAAAAGCTAGCAACGGTACTCTTTGGGGGACACGGTAGAAATGCTGAAGAGCTGAATCCGGTTGCAGCCTATAATCAGCCAATATTAACCTTTATACTTTCCGAACACTGGTGTTATCTCTCAGCAGCCCCGAAATAAAACAAGACTAGACTGAGCGAGGAATGAAAGAGATCAATGTTTCCCGGTATACGATATGTTATAGAAGCTGAAGTGACAGGACTTAAATAGCCTACCAGGGTCAGTTTATTAGGAAAAGAAACCCCTGGAATAATCTAATGAGCACCCTAGCATATACGCTGTATGATCACCAGTAGCCAGACCAGTTGTGAGGTACTAAAGCATTCAGAAAGCCTTCAAGTATCAAGATCCTCTGAGATCAGGCACCATAGCTTCCTTGCTACCAACTGCGAGACGCCTTGACACCTATTGAAGATGTAATAAAAGCTCATTTGGCAGCTTTACAGCCGGCTGAAGTAAGCCAACCGTTGGACTATATGCTAGATCGAGATACTGATTTTATCAAAATCAATATGTAAGTATAGGTGGATGTAGGCGGATGAATATTGGGTGCAGCCTAGAGTCTGCTTTTCAAGATTGTCCCAACAGTGTGGACCCACGATAGTATCTAACGCAAAGATTAAATTAAATAGGCTTTTCCTTCCTTAATCAAGCTTTAACATCTGTCATACAATAATCTTCATACAACCCGTACCACTGACTCAATGAACATAAAATATGTCTGGTTCCCACGGTGCTTATTCCACTAAACAATGTTACGCCAAGGTCCTCCGAGTCAGCTATTTTTGAATATTCTCATATTGAGAATGTGGATATCTAATACGATTAGGTGAGATCTGCAAGGCGCATGAACCTCCAAAAGAATCCACAAGCTAATATAAAAGGATTAGCTCGTTAGTCGGGGTAAGCACATGAGGTCCGGATTACCCACGGTTGAGATCAAGCTTTCCTCGCCGGGTTTGTCGCCACTAGAATCCCAAAAGAACCCACCACCCAGTCCCTTAGAGCGAATGTACTCCGCCTTTAGTTTGATGATATTCGGGGTATCGAAGCTCACCATCATGCGCTGGGAAGGATCATAGCTCCAGCTCACTCCTAGCTTTAGATCTTCCCTAACCTCCGCCCCCTCCAAGGGCAAATCCTTGTAATCATAAATGCCACGCTCATAATGACCAGCGGGTATGGAGGCGAAAGGACTTCCTGGTCCGTCAGTGCCAGCGAAAGCCCGACCATAGAGTGGCATGCCCAAGATAATCTTATGGGCTGGAATTCCAGCATTCAGGTAGGCAGTTATCGCCTGGTCCGTATGAAAAGGAGTGCTTTTGGGCGCACTTGAGGATCGATACAGGCTCGCAGCGTGCCCAGACACGTGGTCCCATTCTCCAGCGTAATCGTAAGTCATCACGTTCCAGTAATCAAGATACTGGTCCATTGCGGCGAGATGAAGAACGGAATATTTGGATGGACCAGCGGGAGAGGCAGCGGTCAAGAGGTAGGGGTTTTCAGCGCTGCCGCCATTTCTGAGTTCCTTGAAAAGGTATTAGGCCATATCTTGCATATTCTTCAGGATACTCACCGATCGGAGCTCTTGCAAAAGGGAGACCATGTTACGCGCTTGGGTATCATTAACAGGATACTGTCTGCCGTCAATTATAAGGGCCAAGAAAAATCAGGGATAGTGACTTACTTCCCAATCAATATCAATACCATCAAATCCAATATTCTGCATCAATTCAACCGCGGACCTTGCAAGCACCCTGCGTCCAGCAGAAGTGCTAGCCGGGCCTACGAAATTCGAAGAGTCTTCCCATCCACCGACAGACAGAAGAACCTTCATGTTGCGGTTCTTCTTCTTGAGCTTATTAATTTGGTTGATGTTGCCATAGACTGTTGCGTCTGATCCCGAGTCGTCCCACGAGTCTCCAGCAAAATGCTTCTGAATATCGGCCCAGTCGTCATTGAGATAGACCTCACCGTTCCGACGTATGTTAGCGAAAGCATAGTAGACATGCGTGAGATTGTCGACAGGAAGATCTTGGGGGTAATGGTGACGGTCGTAAATTGCCTGTCTTTGTCAGTTGCTCTGACCTGTAGGTAGCGGTGAGAGATTCAGAAACCCAGTTGGTAAAATAAACAGCGGAGAGAAACCCTTGACGCTCGATAACAGCATGGGCCCAGCCGACCAGAATGACCAACAATATAGTGTACATAATGGAAGTAGAGATCTGTAGGGAGAGATTGTTCATCAGCTATAAGCACTGGGATTAATGGAAACTTGTCCGTGGATATATGGGACTGGAACCGAAAAATCGTCTCACTTTGCTCTCTCATTCTCGTGAATGTGTCAACCGCATGTCTTGGTGCCATGTGGGCATAAACATGACATATTTAAGGTGAGTCTGCTCGCCCTTCATTTCATTTGGTGCATACTTTTCTCTGCCAATCAATCAATCAATCAATCAAAATTCTATTAACCTAGTGGAGCCTATCTATTGAAACGGCAGGCTATGCAGGCGCTTCGCCGACTGAAGCAGAATTTCGAGCTCATATGCCATATAAACCCTCAAAGCAGTAGACAAAGGAAATCAAAAAGTTACACAACTGAACCGGCTTCCACACGCCTGCTGCGTGCCTACTGCGCTTCTAGGCACTTATCTCTGCCATGGCCAAGGAAAAGAGGAATATTTGCCATCGCCGATCAAACAGTGCCAGGTCTAGGTGCCAGCAGCGTAACCGACGAAAGATCAATTTATTCCGAAGAGCATTCGGATATTCCCATGACTGTGAAGCAGAAGTATACGTGATGATACAACTTAGGGGCAATGGGCGAATTTCCTTCTACAATTCTAATGGCCGATGGCCTCCTTCACGGGAGCAGCTGGTAAGTATCTTGGCAAGCCTAAAATGGAAGTAAGTAAACTTGTATATAGGATTGTCACCACCCAGAACCAACGGAAATTACATCGCAAGAGCTGGCTACCCACTATAAGGGATTCGAAAATGGGATATAAACGGGCTACAGGCTACAGCCATCTTCCCAAAAGCTCCTAGCTTTAGACGCCTTGGATATCGGTTGAACGTCTCAAATTTAGATCCATGCCTTCTTTGATCTAACATTACACGACGGGTCGAAACTCCCTCTGCCTCTCACAAAATAGGCTTATAATCAACTTAGATTGTGTTGGCGCTGAGGTTTGGGCGGAGTTGGTGCCGACCGGAGAGTTGAGTTTCGTCGAAGAATAAAAATAAGGTGACCTAAGTAGGTTACGCCAATGTAAATAAGCAAACCGTATAATCAACTGGTTAGTTAATTGGTGGAGATCACATAATTCAGCATTTTTGTCATCCCTGCCCTCCATCTTTCTAGAACACGTGATTGATGCTAACCTATAACTTATAAGCTATAACTTATAATGTTCCGTGACCCCGCTTCATCAAGAACTATCCTACTTTTTTCACACATACTATTGAATATCTTCAGGACTGGAATCAAAGAAATGCCAGTAAACTTCTTTAGCCTTCCTCCTGAACTTCGCAATGAGATATACACCTATCTCCTAATACGCAGAGAGCCCATTAATCCCTGGAATGGGGATAATGAGCTACATCCCAAAATCCTCCTCACCAATACAGCAGTCTTACATGAGGCTAGGGCACTACTCTATGGACATAATCGCTTTGATCTGAAGTGTGAACCTGGACAAATATCTGAATTTCTTGATACTATTGGCTTTATCAACGCATCTCACCTCCAATGTATCTACATCGACTTTCCAAGATTTCACAATGTCGAAGAGGAGGTCAGCCTGGAAGAAGGCAGCCTTCATGACCTGGAAATTATCCAGTCATACTGTACCGATATACGAAAGCTCATAACAAACTTCGAAAGCACCATTGCCATGGAAACCTGGCTAGTCTCATTTGACAGTCCTACGATTTGTGTCCGGGCGTTAGCGCTGATTGCTGCTCGTTTCAGAGCAATTTCGTCTCTCCAAGAAATTGTTATCGAGGTTGACCACGACCAAGGTCCAATTCAAAGGGAAATGAAGAGTCATGGATGGATACTCCAGGGTGTGATGCTAGAGTTAGTAGGGGAGTGGGAGGATTTTGAAGGTGATGTGTATCCTGATAATGATTGCGATGATGATGATTACGATGATAATGATGGATGGGACAGTTATATGAGGGGTTACCGTGCAGGTGCATTTGGCCACCCATCACCCTAGCTAATGGCGCTTTGCGACTGTAACTTCGTTGATTGCTGGTATTTTGAAACTCGATGATAATTAGCAATTTCAGGAACCCATGGTGGAATCAAGCCAGGCTATCCAACGCAACAAATATACATATGTAATTTGAATTCAAGAAGACACCAGAATGTTGAAAGTGGGCTTCAGCACTAGCCTTTCTCGCACCCACATAGAATCATGCACGAAATAGCACCTTGGCGTTAGGATTGGAGATAAACTCGTCACTGCGCGGCGGAAAGAGGTTTCACCCCATGGTATATATACGTTAATATGGAATGCGTGTTTCGCAAGCCCGGAAAGCACCCGGCACTACCAGAATAGACATTTTTTGAATTCAGATATAGCAAATTTGAAGGCTTTTCTGCGAAAGCCACGGTAGGAGACTGGAAAGCCATATAAAATTGGAATATCGGTCACTGTAGCAATGCTTAGACTGAAGGACCGGTAATACCGCGGAATCGGGGTTTATTTCCCCGCGTTAGCTTCAAAGGCATTTTCAAGCCTTGAGAATAGCCAGTTATTATAAATGAGGAAAAGAATGCCAGCTAGAAGTGCAAAAAAGCCGGTGACTGTGGCAGTTACTGTTGCGGTCACAGACCATGAGCCGGCTTTTGCCGTATATATGTTGATAAGCGTATTGAGTAAGCCTGTCACCGAATTGATAATTACCGGTCTTGTGACATTTATTAGCTTAGCAGGGATAGCGTGGCTTATATTTAATACTTACAGAAAAATCTTCCGAGCAAGCCAAACGTAATTATCCCTTCTTCGGTAGTATAACCAGCCTGCGCCGCACATGCCTACCACGCAACATATGGCCGCGACCGCAAGGAGTGAAACGTTTTGGACAGCATAGAACGCCGACTTCCCCATCTTAGTCTTAGCTGCAGTCGCCTTGAGTGTTTCAGAGGTTTGAATAGAGGCAAACGAGGCTGGAAAGACAAGATACCCTGCTAAGAGGATCCACGAAAAAAAAGCCGCCAAGATATTATCCAGCAGCGGAATCTTTTCCATATCTAAAAGCATTTTCACGTAAAGGGTGGGTGAGATGGATTGGGTTTCCTGCTGAATGGTCCTTTTCACGCAGGGAGGAAGCAGTGAACTGAAGGCCCATTCAGACGAAATGCTTCGCAGTGACCGCCACATATTGCTATAATAGAGCTGGAATTTCAGACAGAGAGTCAGTCTAGGTCTTATAATCACTCATGGGTTCAAAACCGACACCCGGGTCCCGGGTCCTTTTATTATCAAGTCATATACCGACACGGAATTGCCCTGGACCGGTGATAAGAAGCCAACTAGGTAGCAGGCGATTGAAGAGGGATAGCAGCTTTTATATTGATTGAGAGGGCTTTATCAAGACGAACATTTGTCCCTATTGGGCGGGTGAGGCGAATATCGAAAAGAAGAATGCGCTCAGCTAAGTGGTTGCTTTTTCCATTTACAACAGGCCTTCTATGTAATGCCTTTGTCTTCAGTAAAGTGGTAAGCTTAGGTGAGATAGCGCTTGATATAGTAACCGGGGTAGATTGGAGGCCCACGCTTCTCCGAAACTATAAATCTGCCGCGAAAGAAAACAGTAGAACTAGTGACACTTATTAGAATGACAACGAACCCCTAGATCTGTTCAGTGGAAACGCTCAAACCCTATTGCCGGGCTCTCCCCGTCCGTCTAGCCATTCCTACAGTATCACCCCACTCACCGACCAGTTTAATCTCCAAACAATTTAGATCGGTGGTGCGTCCCTCGATGTGTTCGTTTTCTAGGTGAATACGTGTTTCTCACACCTAGACTTTGGGCAGACAGAATTCTCCGATATAAAGAAAGAACATCACCTACATTTTTCACATATGTACCAGGTGCGTGCTGTGTACTCCATCCCGACAAACGACGTTCTGAGAATGCCGACCTAATGCCAGCAAACATCGTTCAGAGCCCAGATATATCAAGCGACTGCATGGCAAACTACGCACCGTGGGGAGAGGAAGGGGACGACACCTCAGATAGTGGTCCCGAAATCGAGCAACCGGACGACCCACCATTTCCATACCAATTTATGATGGCCACAATATTGGTTGTTCTGGCAATAGTATCTGTCGTGGGAGCTCTACTCGGTGGGGGTCATTTCGCCGACGTATCTAAATAAATGGGACTTGACATTACAATATCTGCCGCTCCAAGTCTTATAATAAAAAGCATGCAAAGTAACATAACCACCTTTCAACAAGCAAAGAATAGTTTATCTTGGCACCTGAAATACACGCTTTCAGGAACGAATAAAAAAAGAGCTTCAAGCCTATTCTACTAAAGGGTGGTCTGACAGATGTGAGTTCCTATGAAATGGCCTAAACGAATATTATTGTAGTGCCTGGCATATCCAGCACAAAAAATGTCCATAAAACAATATGCCAATGCCCCTTCGCAGTGGATCCCTCCAATCATCCTCAGGTCTCAAGCTCGCATTCTACATTAAGCTTAGCATCGCAATAATGGTTGTTACTAGAACCTATCAGTCTCTGGCCTCCGCGTGGAAGGTTTCACTTACTTCCAATCCTCAGAAGAATGCATATCTGCAAAGGGATCTCGCGTATCGTACGATGTTCCGGTGAGCAGAAAATAGCCGCAGTCACTGATCCCCATACCTCCCATTGTCCAATCCTGATCTTCGGGACAAGAAGGATGTCCCGAGATCATTGAATTGAAGACGTACTTGCATAACTCAGGGGAAAACATGATGTTACAGTTACTTCGGACAGCTGCAGCAAATAACATTTTGATGTCCTTGCCTTCTTTTGACATACTTAGCTCTTCGTAGTGAAAGTCGGAAGAATCCGACGAGTGCTCGCCCATTGATCGACTTAGAGCAAAAGATTCAAAGTCACAGGCTCTGGCTACCGCGGAACTAGCGTCCGTTACCTTGAAGGTTGAGCCCCATGGCTTGGCATGCGCCGACGAAGGCACTTTGGTAGCGCAGAGTATACTTGTGAGGGATGCTGTCTTAGAATCTAGTTGTACGGAGGACTCGGTAGTAGGAGTAGAATCCAGTGTTGAGAACGAGAACAAGGAGGCAGTAGAATGTGCATCTGACTCTGTGGACAAGACGCTCGGAGTTGGAGAGTCATCCGAGGTTGCGGGTGTAATTTTGGAAGGTGAACGTATACCTCCCGTACTAGTGATCGTAGAAGAAGGGGTCTTTGACGTTGTGGCCGGGATCATGGATTGCACGGAAACTATGCTCACACGGGGACCACTTATGACACATGCAAGGTTTGTAGATTTACCCTGCGTGAAGGTAGTGATGTCATACTGGCTTTTCCCGCACGTGCAGAAGGTATAAGTGCCGGTGGGGAGGATGGTAGATTCCGTAGCTAACATACTAGCCAACGCCGATTAGCAAGTTAGAGGACTGCAACAACTAAACTTTACTTACGATGTAATCGTGCAATCTTGGCCTAAATGGGAGCTGGATGGTATAATCGTGCCCGGGGCGTTACATCCGAGGACCGTGTCAGCAGCTTCAGCTGATAGTATCGCCGTAAATGCGATATGGAAGAGATAGTAAATTAACTCTGGCATAGCGATCGAGAAGTGAGAGGAAAGATCTTGGTTGCTGGCTGTAACTAGGTTGACTGGCGTATTTATAGTATTGTAGTGCCGCGGAGACTGTCAAGCATAGACCGCTTTTGTCCCACTCAGTGAAGATCTTACGTCAGTTTCTTTGCGCAACTTGAGAGATATCTGATTTAAAAGTATTTGTGAAGTCGAGAGTTTCTTGAAACCGGCTTCTGGCCCCAGTGGGGAATCCCTACCAAAAAAGGAAACCAATATTTAGTATGATATATATACGTTGCTCCCTGCTATACTGGACTACACCTTATACAAATCTTCGATAGTTTAGACATTAAAGGACAAAAAGACCTAGGTATTGTTTATAAGATGCGCCCCCCGGATAGGTTACGTTAGTACTTAATAACTCTAGTTTATACAGATATAAGGAAGACGCGCATAAATATCCAAATTATGCTCAGAAGGCTGCCTGCAGCCTAGTTCCTGTGAAGCCTACCCTCTCAATCCAGGTACCGGCTTGAATACTCTTATTCGTCTGTAGGATGCTGAATCAATCTTCCTAGCCCATCCACGAGAATAACTGTATAAACGTGGTCTGAAAACCGTCTTCGTCAACTATATAACGACAGCGGCGGGTTGGAGGATTGCCGTTTGTTCACACACGCATCCCATACCATAAGACCAGCCATGGGCATAATGGATGTACTCAGCAAATCCCTACTTCCATTGGGGGTGGCGAAATCCGTGCTATGTATGGATGAGAGCATGACCGGCGGCATTTCTATCATCAATAATTTAGATGTGGATCTGTATGTCTGGTCCGTGCAAAAAAACGACGGGCCACAGCATATTCTCGGCTCCCATTCCGGACGCTATCACGAATTATGGAAGCCAACTATTGACGATACCGGTGTTTCGCTAAAGATCGCTACCAACAATGACAAGAGCAATGTTCTCCAGTTTGAATACAGCATCCTACACTCTACACTGTACTGGGACCTATCGTGCATCGATCTAAAGAAAGATTCGGAGATCATACTCCAAGGATTCTCGGCAATCCCGAATCACCAGGATTGTTCGCCCGTTATCTGCACGCCCGGAGACGAGAAATGTCCCAACGTCTATCATGAACCCAATGACAACCATGCGATTCGCGGGTGCGCGGCCAGCACTGATATTGTACTGGAAATCGGCCAGTAGTTTTAGATTTGCGGGACGATGAAGACGAATGATTATCTCGTAGTAATTGCCTCATAAGGAAAATCAACTTCTTTTGCAGACCAGATAAATGAGAACAACCGCGTGTTAAATACATGTGTAAAATGTCATCTAATAAGATGCAATCTAAACACAACTAGGCCTACTCAGTGCATCCATGTCAAAAGTAAATATGGAGTCATCTTGTATAATAGATTCATCGCTCATTTGCTCCAGTGGGTAGATGCCCACTGGGGCTCTCATGTATAGCAGGTGGCTCGATAGTTTCCCATCTACGCCCATGAGGACGTGGCGCTTGAACTGTCTCCAGAATTTGCCCAATATCGTTTTTTCCGGTATCGGCAGATCCCGGTATGTAGTTGCGGTATATCTGCGGCTCCAAGGAGGTGGACCGATGGCATTTCGAGGAATAAAGCAGAGAATATTTGGATCCCCACCAAAAACATCCACCAGATTATCCCAGTATACCCCTTTGTTATTTGCTGACAGATCACGATGGATTTCTGCAGGAGTAGGAGAGGCTTTCCCCGGCGGGGTTGACCGGATTATCTCGCTTTCCAAGTCACCGCCTTTTTTCTTTACCTGGTACAACTTCCATTGCGCCAATCTCAATCCCACATTGGACAGCTGTTTTTTCTGACTGTATGCCTGTAGCGCACGGAAAGTCCCGTTCGCGTTTTCCGGGTAGTTATCAGGAGGCTGGGATTGTGATCGCAACTCGCGCAAACATTCTTTGAGCATGAGAAGAGCATCGGGAGAAGCAATATTCATTGCTAGTTGGAAAAGTTCACTGGAACGCTGAAGTCCAATTTCTTGTACTCCAGTTCTGTGTGACGGGTCCTTGGCTACCTCGATGATTGTGTTCCAAAGTCTGTCATCGTATTTGTTCTTCTTGCCCAATTCAAGGTAGAAGGTTTGAATCACCTGCTCCTCGCTTACAGGGGGCGAGAGGGATTTTGGCATATTCAATACCAAGTCGGTAGTCTGGCTTGCTTTAAGGTCGAAGAGGATCTCCTGGGCCAAATGCCTAGCATAGTCTGGGGGGACGTGACGTGACAAGTCTAACTGTTCGATATGGAGGTGCGTCATCCAAAGAACCCAGGTCGTGTCTCGCGCCGACGTGGTAATGATCTCCAGAGTATTCTGCCACGGTTTCACTAACTCCTTCTGTAGGTGTAGTATGTCCGACATGCGTTCGCCGACTCTGACGCAATAGCTGCATTGGCCGTGATCCCATGCCGGGCTCGTAGGCTGATCGGACACGCGGCATCTGTAGTGGTTAACTCGGCCGGCGGAACGCTGAACCTCGATCAATGCCCATTGAGATTGTTCCTTGACCAAGACCAAAGGCCGCCGCTGTCCGAGATGAGCCAGGGCCTCGAATTCGTGTTCTCTGCCAGCCCACACCTCAGACGCTCCCTGCGAGCGAGACCACTTGCTGACAAAGTAGTCAATTGTTCGCTCGGTTATAACACGGCTAGCATATGTCAGTTCCTCCAGCACGGCCTTCAGGTATTGACCATCGAAGACGCCCCACGCAGTTTCGAAGCGACCAGTAAGAGGAATCCAATCCCAAGAAATGTTGTCACCCCTCAGCAGAGCCATCCCACTGGCTTCTACTGCCTGGGGGGGAAAGGACGATGGTGTTACCGGGGCAGTGCCCGAATCGACTGGAGCTCTTTCATCCGGATTTCCTGAAAGACCGAGTGCATTGTCGGCTTCGTGATAAACGGCGCCCGACTCGCCGTCTTGTACCGAGCGAGTTTCGGCTATGGGTGGAAACAAAGAAGACACGGGAGAAACAGAATCCAACTGAAACCCCCCAGAAAATATGTCGGCCGGTCCAGATCTGTTTGCGCTCGAATTTAAATCATCAGTTTCGGGCTCGGCATTCGGTAACCCAAGTGGTGTGTTCAAATCAATCATGTCGTTGAGGAGCCAATCACCGCTGGAATCAACAGGCGGTAGAGATGGAATCCGGATATTTGCTGACGTTGGGGACTGCGATACAAAAAGTGTGTTGTCGATCGCTCCGGCTGGCCAGTCTTCAACGCCACCGAGGCTGCCAGCTAAGGCAATTATATTGTTGATGTCATCTGGCCACATACTCAGCATTGAATAGTAAAGTATATTATGGGACTAGACGCACCATAACTCAGCACCGGTGTGCTAACCGGGAAAAGGGCGTCCATGTCGATTTCGGGCATTCGGATATCTATAGTGTTGGCTGCTTTGGAGATCGGTGTCTCTGACGCCAGCCCATTATCGTTGTCACTGTGTTCGTCTTCGGCTGCACTAGGGTTGACAGATTCACTGAGCACAGGAGACTGCTCCTGTGAAGGGTCTGCTTGTGGCGTCCATGACGTGTCCGTTGTGGAACGTGGCTGTGGCATTCCTGGCTCTGGTGTAAGGATCCCCGACATCTCATGCAGGAGGCTGCTGAGTGCGGTATGCTGTTTATCCTGGGAAAATGCTTGAATCACTGGGCAGATAGCACGGACCAAGTCAATCTCTATCTGTCAGTAAACATGTGCCTATGTGAAGTGGCATACTGACCAACGCGGTGACTACTCGCCCCCTACTCTCAGTGCTCATTAGTGGTTGGGCGTCATCCAAGGCCTCCTGTAAAGCCATCTAGGTCGATGTTAATGATACATTCAGAGAGTCAAGACATACTGACCACTTTTCCGTGTAACATCTGCTTGAAGTCAGAATTCATCGTGGTAGGACGGAGAACCACCTCAGGCATGAATAGTGATACGGTGTAGGAAAGAGAGCCACAGCCGCCCGTAAACGAAGCATCGAGGACAGGCTTTCAGGAAAGGGGGTTCTCCTGTCTACTTCCCCTAGCAGGGTCTGGAGTAACGCCGAGGTCACTCTTGCGGGAGGACCCAGAGACTCGGTAAATTTGTTCCACCGTGCGTCGAACGGCCCATTCCTAGGTATGGCTTTCAGCCAGTCAACAGCCAGAAAAAAAAAAGCATCCCGCGTATGGTCGTATGGGGGATGGTATATAAAGTACGGATTAAAGAAAACCTCCCAATCAACAGCATTGAGAGAATCACATCCCTGATATAACATGGACCAAATGGACGAGGTTTGTCACTCCAATGTGATACTCACCTACGCAAGCCCCCAATACGCTCGCTAAGCGAACACAGACTTCTGAACTTTCAAGCACCATACCTGAGCCAGTCTCCTCACAGAACTTATATCTCACGGAGCAACTTGCTTCGTACTGGGCAGAGTCCCAAAGCCTTCGTTCTCACATTGAGATGCTTCAAACACAGCTTGCTGAAGCCTGCGAATTGAACATCAGTATTTGCCATGAATTATCTGCAGAGCGCATTCACCACTCGACGGTCGCCAAGGAGCTTTCACTGCTCCGGGAACAGTTTCAACAGCTTAAAGTGATGGTTTCAGCCAGAGAGGGCTCGGAAAAGACACCGCCCAGGATCTTTCGACTGGAAGCCAGAGAGATAGCTCTCCAACAAATGGAGCTTGATCTTTCCCAAAAGGCAGCTGCCTTAAGATTGACTTGTCAAAATATTGAATCATGGTACTGCCCTATGTGGGAAAAGCGACTGAATCACCCGAGGCCTGTGCGGCACGCCAGCTGTGCCGGCGACAGGGGATGCGCTGCGCCCGCAAATGGCCAAGAGCGAATAGGAGCGCCTCCTGGGATCGTAGATGTTGGTTTTCGAGGGTAGTGTTACATCAAAGGACAAGACCTTTCCCTCCTATGATAAATCAGACTTGAATCCAAGGCTAGTTCCAATCCAAGCACATTTACCATCTGAGAGCCTGAGCGTTTTTCAACATATTCTAGAGCGTGGCCAGAAACCTGGGCAAAGTGCAAAACGTGAAGTCTACAGTCTGATATATTACAAAACTAGGAAGAACCCGGAAATAGTAGAAGTACTGTTAATTAGACGTCGCGTTTTACAAGCTTCTCTTAATCTGGACAATCTACAACCCTGGTTATTAAAACATAGGCCAGACTTTCGTACTAATGGCATGGCCTTTTCCCCCGGGAATTTGAAATCCGGTACCGTAAATCTTGGGTATCTTGATTGTAAGGTATACCCAAGGGCCAAATTACCCCTGCCCTATAAAACCAATTGTCGGTGAAATTTATACCCTGTTGCGGTGAGATTGGAAAGGCTGAGATAGCGGGTTCATTTTTCTATTGGAGGGGAAAAGGAATCCGGTACTAGGGCTTAAAAGTAAAGATAAACAATCTATATGAATCGAACCCTCTTCTTGTGGGTGTATCTTGTCCTGATTAACGCATTCCTGCGCTCTCGCTTATCGCATAGTGTGCAGCTCGTGCGCGCTATTAGCCGTTCTACATTGGCTGTGTGGCCAACGGTGTCTAATCCCTGCTGATCCAAAAACCATCGCAATGAGAGGGGAAACCCGCCCAGTTTCTGTCTGTGACGGGGGGCCAGTTGCAGCGACAGTGTGATTTCGCTATCAAGATCCCTCACCGCGAAGCGGATAGGGACGCAATACCTTGCGCAGCCTTGGCACACCGCGTCATCAAAGGGCGACGTATCAAGGTTATCCTCGTCGAGGATATATGTGGAAGCCTTGGGGTGGAGCCGCCGGAGAGTATCAGCTAGGGCTTTGCCTGGCAGCCGACAACGTATGATCCCATTGCAATGGAAATAACCATCCTCCCAATGTGGCGCCAGCGATAATTCCAGAAAAAGACTAGCTAGTAAAAGCGAGGTTAACACCGGTGGCACCTCCACTTTCGCTTTCTGGTCCGCAAGGCTGGTCATCCATTGCACCTTGTCCACAGCATTAAGGGAGGGCTCCTTGCCAGGAAATTCCACGTTTAAACGATGGTAGTTCTGCCTGGCCGTCTCGTTAACTTGTCCTAGTAAGCCTCTCCAACCCTGCTCGGCATCCATGGATGCCATAAAGGAGTCGTATAGACGAAAAGCAAATCCGCTAGCCCAACGTCGACGGCGATCGGAATGATGTGCGGCGATAGGGGGGCGGTCTAGATTGGCTGACCCCGTGCCAAGGGATACTAGAGTCCCGAACTCCGACCTGGAAGGCCACATGAGCGGTAGCTCGGATCGACAAAGTGGTGCCGGATTATTGAACGCTATCCCGCCATCCACACAGCTCCCAACACCCCGAATCAAATAGGGCTCGAAATATCTACTGCCCATTAGCTTAGTTCATTGCGAAAACCTTTCTGTATACTGACACAGGGGCTGCCGTTGTCGCTCGGGCGCTGTCGGCGTTCAATCAGATATCTGCCATTAAGACGGGACGGAACGGAACGGAACATACCATTCCCATGACTTGGGCTCCTCCACAGCATCACTCGCTTCATGGACGTGGTAGTATACTCGATCTGTTTTGGATGCCTCACTCAGGAGATAGCTCGCTCATTTAACAGATGGGCCTTACCTTCGCGGCCAATTCCAACTGTCGCCCGTCGATAGTTTGGCAGCAGTACTGGAAGCTCGGCTGTTGTAGTAACTGCCACCTTAGTCCCTGACACCAGCTGCGAACCGAACATCTCCTGACTAAGACCGAACTGCTGTTGAAGTAGCTTGTCCCACGCACGTGCACTGTACCAACCATCGGTCCACCAACAGTGGAGGGCCCGGCCTAATTTTGCCCAGACAGACTTTGGGGGCGGATGTTGCCGGAGGAACCGCCACATCAAGTCAGAGAGCGCGTGCGCACAATCCCCCACAGTGAGGCGTTGATGAAAGAGTGATAGCACAATATAGCCTCCTGCATCCTGTTATTAATACTATCAAAGATGGCCATGCAAAATGATTCCTACCGGAGCTCGTGCCGAAAGCAACATCCATCAAGTCCTGTACAGGACACTCTGGTCCAAGTAGAGCTTGCATGTGGCCTAGGAACCGAAGGGGGATAAAACCCCGCACGCCGCCACCGTCTATAGTGATCGCACGCACACATGCGGTTGGTGGTAGGACCTGGATCAGAGAACGAGTCTGGGACTGACAAAGCACGCATTGCTCCATCAGGTACCTATACTCCGCATTTTTGATCAACTGACCATATGTAGCAGCACAAACGTCACAATATGCGTGGCCGCAGACAAGCTTGTGTTGTGGTGCCCTAGTCAAACACACGAGGCATGTGCGATTGGTGAATGTGTTGCTGAGCATTTTCTTCCATTGCGCGAGAGTTGATGCATGAATACGGCTCAATGGTCCCCGCCCGGACAAGATTCGGTTGTAAAGCCGTGCAAGATGATACTCGATCCGCTGGCAGTCTACCAGCGAAAACCCTAGCGCGAGAAGGGCATCCTTGCAGGGCTCACGGTACAGGGAGTCAAAGATAGCAGCAGGGCTAAAATCTGGGGCACGTCAGCGCGGTTACTCAGACATCCGAGACAGTCAATACCCACGGTGTTTCCCCGGTGGGTACGCATCGACTAGGAGCGTCGATGCTATGAATTCTGCGCGATCATCCCATGGATGAGTCTTTGTCAGTTCCAAGAATGCTCTTAAATGGGAGGCATGAGCGTGTTTATCGGGAGTCTCGCGGGCGGCCCGGACGAATTCAAACGGCTCCTCCGCAGTGCGACATAAGTGCAGCAGTGCTCGGTTGAAGAAGCGCTCCAGGTGTAGTGCCGAAAATAGAAAACCATCCTCTCTGCGATGCCGGCGACTCAGATCGAGCGCTTTCAGGACCTCGTCCTTGAGAGGCCGATACTGCGCTACTTCAGAAAGTTCCACTGGGGGCAGAAAGAGCATACTAGGCGCACAGAACATATTTAGGTGATCGGGATTTTGATCGAGGTGGAACTGGAAATCGCACTCATCCATAAAGTTTTGCGTAACACTTTCTCCACCGTCTACCGCAATCACTACTCGAGGCCGGTGCTCCAAACTAGATGCATGGCGCCCTAGAGTTGCCCATGTTGTGAGTGCTGTACGGACCGCATCCAAGCCACCGAAGTCATCGGCAAAAATACAAATGACGTCAACAAATAGGAACAGCAGGCGAGCAAGAAGAGTATCTAATAGGCGATGCCTGTGATGCGTCGCCCAGTGAATGCGGATCTCCTCCTGCCCACCGGGTCTTGGGACAGTCTGTAAGTGAGAGAGATGCGGATCGCAGTCAGCGAAGAAAATAGGGTGGTCTCCAAAAAAGGTCTGGTTGTCAACCCGCAGTTGCAGATACGAGTTTCCTTCTGAAATCCTGTTCTTTGGGAACATGCATCGAAGAGCAATATCTTTACGATGCTGACCTAAAAAAAGGACGAGGCCGGGAAATTGTGTCGAGGGTGAAGCCAGCTGCTCCCCAATATAACTCAAGCACCTCCCGTGACGGACAAAGGTACCCGCCGAGTTGCTGACGAGTCTTAGCCAGTCAATGTCCGACATGGCTGTCGCGATTACAGATATAGACAGCGCTTGAGGGCTCGGGGGTTTCATCGGGTATATATAGAGGAACTCATAAAGCGTGTGCTACAAAACATTTAGTTGGTGTAGATCTGGCTTATAGGTGACATATGACTATGGAAATCCCCGGCCTTTGGTCCCTCAGGCCTCTGAATTGACGCACGAAGCGACCGGGTACAGGTAGACCCCCGTAACTGCAAGGCTCTAAGGGTACACACCTCTAGCTGCACTTAGAGGCTTGAATGCCAACACAAAATCGCCTCCACCTAAGCCGAACGCTGTTGCATCTCAAGGACGTCTACCACTTTGTCAAGAAGCAGCTTTGTCCCGTTGTACAGCAAACTCTTGACCTCATAGGCACTTTCTGTATAGGATAGGCGTCTTGCAATAGCATTATGCTCCCTTTCTAACTCGGTCACCCTTTGTCTCATTGAGTCCAAGCTCGCAGTAATTTGTTTCAGCTCTTCGCCCATTGTTGTGGACAGTTGGTCAACAGAGCTGCATGAATGGTTCACAGCGTCCATCGCTGGGCGAAATTCAAACCCGTATGTTGCATTGTCGGAAGCGTCGCGTACGCAGTCACAGAGGTCACAGATGTGCTCCTGGGTCACGTCAGTTGAGCAGGTTATCGATCGTTTGCCTGAAAACCTACGCCAGTAGAGCTAGGAGAAGCCTGTGTTTGGCAATCGATGTCCATAGGTGCGTAGATTTCGTCTTTGTTGCTTGCTCTTCGACAGGAGCGGTCTAAACAATATATCATTCCTAAGCCCTTAGAAAGGCCGGGCAGAGTGAACACATCATTCTCAGCCCCGCTTTATAGCCGTTGGCGCTTTGGCAATGGTACAAATTGTGACAGTCTAATTCTCCGCGGTGAGAATTGTTCTTATGATGTCACGGTGAGCGATTCCAGATATATATTAGAAGGAAAATGGCTTGGTTGGCAATAATTCCTTGTGACGATTACGAGACATTCCACAGCATTTCTTACAACTCAATTGGTTTATTTCAAGAAGATATGGATGTGCCTAAAAGTTTGAATGAGTACAGCTCATCTGTGTATACAATGACCGAAAGGGAGGTTTCGCCCAGTCGCCCAGGAACGCCTAGCTCATTCGAATGTCACGTGACACTCGAGGGTGGCCGCAGCTCAGCTATGGACCTTTTACCTTCTAATCTGCGGCGTTCCAAAAAAGAACACCTTTATGAAACCGAAGAATACCAGAGGGCAATTTTTGACGCATCCTTCCTTCGGGCCGAGAACGCATGGCTCCGTAAAATTCGAAAATCTGCCCTTGTCCTCCAGGAAGAAACCCTTCACCCCTCGATAGATATTCTCTCTAAAGGCACCAAAAGCATCCACGATTCTCTTACTCGATTCTATATCGCATTCGGCGCCATTGAACAGACTATTCGATTCCTACAGCAACCAGTTCTAGCTGATGTCGAGGCGACCCTTCAAGAACTCACCCTCGCATTTGAGATTTGTCGCGAGGGTCTGGAGGAAGTGCGTCACGCGACTAAAATCGTCGAAACTGGTCAAAATTCCTTCACTCTCCAGACTTTGCGGTCTAACCGGAGTTACGAAAGCTTTTTTGGAATTAGCTATGACGAGACAACGCCGGCATCATGGTTTAATTGGTCAGATAGTGCGCGAGTGAAATCGTGAAAGGTTTCTAGACTGCCTTTATGGTTTTGCAGTGCATGTCGAAACCTCTTGCCCTTCAAGCCGAATTGTTTTTAGAGCCTGATCTCGAAAGCTCATTTACAAAAGTATACATTAATGATGCGATCTCTGGTCAGAACATTCAAAATTATCTAATAAAATGTGTTCATTTACCGAGTAATAATTCTGGTATTCTGGGACGGAACGGTCTTGACTGTGAAAGAGAGCAAGGAGGTTTCGACCCTCACTATACAAATAGCCTCGTCGAAATCCAGCTCCAAACGCAGTGCCGAAGCTGATCAGGGCCTTGAATATTCTGCAGGAAGCTATGCTAGCTGGTGTTAATAGCGTAGTCGATAACTGTCAGGTCAGACATACCTCAAGTAACGCTGCTGTCGGTTGTCCTTCCTCCAGAGCCCGTAAGAATTCTAACAGAGATGTGTCGCCGGATGCACCTGGCTCAGATAATCGTCGAACAAGGAGAGCTAGCGAGCGAAGGTCATCGCTGTACTGTTTACTTCCGCGGAGTAGGCTGTTTCCTATATTCGCTGTCGACCAATCAGTCTTAGTTCCTAGGGGCACTTGACAATCTGCCTACCCAGCTTTACTGTCCCGGATAGATCAAAGCGTATATTCTCAACCTTTAAGTCACCGTGGCAGATCCCCAGTGAGCTATGAATGTACTTGAGTGCAGTTAGAACACCAAAGCACACAGCTGCGGTCTCGGCAAGGCCCCAATGTGGGCGGAAACTCAAGATATCTTTCATAGATGCTACTGTGGTTTCGTAAACCATTGTGATATAGACATCTTCAATGTATAGACGCCCCATATACACTATATTTCGATGAATAACGTGCTTAAAATCAACAAGATTGGAATCCTGGAATTTGCTTTGGCGGACGAACACAGTATCATAGGGGTATTTCTTGAGGACAGCTAGGTAATGTCCCGGTTCCAGAGTCGCTAACTGCTGATAGTGCTCCCAGGGGTCAATTCCTGCCCACTTGAAGGTGATATCATCCAGACTAGCGTTGCTCGAGGGGCGAACTGGAGCCGGCTTCCTTAGTTTATTGGCAGTGCCTCTAAATTCCAAGCCTTGGTTGTTGGTTGATCCATCCATAATTGCCAAATTTTGAGTAATGACAAGATTGAGAGCGGCGCCGAACACGATATATATATATTATAAGCTCAATTATGAGTAGTACTTCTAGAATGATTAATCTCGCTCCAAGAATCAGCCTCTTACTGAACCGTTAGTATCAATTCCCCAACAATCGCAAGTCCGTTATCTAACTGCTCTGCGGCCTGCTCTCCCAGCATCAAATAGACGCACTCAAGTGTTATAGCATGAAAGATCCTTTGAATACCATTCTGCGTAAGTAAGTCGCATTCTGGTATATCTGCCAGAGCTCACTATTGCGCTAGCATGGAGGAGAAGAGGCCGGGAGAAGCACAGTACTAAGCCATCATTTATCCTCGAAGTCTCTCCCGGCCTTCCGCAATCATGGCTTGATAGACAAATCTTCACGCCTGACTGGGAGGTGAAATCAAACTGAAGGAAGCTTCCAGGGCGGCAAACCTTTGCCAACACGCTCAACAACAAAGAGGCTTATACTGTAAAGGAGTAGGCCATGGTCAGGAGCAGGTGTTTCAAGGAATAAGGACCTAGACAATCACACTGGGTGGTTTCCAACCAGAACGGAAAGGAGCTACATTACACACAAAGTCGAAACCAGTGCCACCCCTCCAGACCCTTCTCTTTGTTTTATCGAGTAGAGACTAGTCTGTAAATAGGAAGATTTGGATTTTAAGCCAATCATATTTATTTGCCAAGCCTTTTATCAGGCGCTTTACCCTCTTTGTACTGCGGAGAACAAAAGAGACTAAACTCGGGGTGACACTGGTTTCGCAACCGAGTATAAGCAATGGATGCAAATTGTTGGATGGGTTGCGGAAGGATTCTACAGTAGCAGATCATATTACAGGCTTTCCGGGAAACGGTGTCACTACCTACTGTCTTTCCTACTTTCCCAAGACCCGCTTCTCGAGTCACACTATTCCTTATGTGGTAAGCACTAGTGACAACCGTCCACTCGGGTTTAGAGTAGGCCAGAGATCCATCCAGCTGTGGGGCATTTTATCTTGGCACTAGGCTCTGGAGAGAAAGGACAGAGAGGAAGTGGTGACACCGTTTCCCGGAAAGCCTGTAACCGCAAGGCATGGAGTGAAGCTCAGAGGCTAGCTGTTCGCTAGCTGTTCCAGAAATTACTACGTATTCACACCTCTAGGGAACTGCATTGATTATGCGGGTCAATTTCCTCCTGTAAAATGATGAGCCGAGGGATTTTTGATAGGCAGTAACTGACATAGCTAGAATCTGGCAAGTGGGGATACCCGTGGGTATACAGGGGTTGTGTTACGTAGGTTCTTTTTCATTTACTACAAAATACGGAATTATTTGTAGATAATGACGTATATTGATAGAACCTGGTGAGTGGGGATACCCACGGGGGTATACCCAGAGGGTATACCCACGGGGGTATGCAGGGATTCTGCTGTGGAGATACCCGTGGGTATGCAGGGATTATATTAGCTAGATCCTATTTTTTTTACTACAGAATTATAAACCGAGGGATTATTGGTAAGCAGTTACCGATAACAACTACAGCTAGCACTTGGCAAGTGGGTATCCTCCCTAACATGGTAGTCATCGATCAGCTACCTGAAGCTGACCTGACAGCACCTGATTCTTAGCCAGACCGTACACTTGTTGTGGAGCATAAGCCGCATGTAGGTGAAAACTAGAGTAGTATGGAATAATGGTAAAGCTACCATTGCTCTTCTTAAGTGCGGGCCTTATTTTTTCGCACTGACTAGGCCTATATAGCATTTTATTTTCCCCCTCCCATAATCTTCCGGTTAAGTGTTAAGTCTTTTCAGCTTGAGGTTGCTCCGCCCTCGAAGTGAACTGATTATAGGACGAAGACCCTGATATTCTTCTAGACACTTGGTCCTCACTATGGATACCACAGATATACTTTATGATGACCACCGACACCTACGAATATTAAATGATGCATATCTTGGCCATGCACGTGTGCCCCTTGAAAGCCTGTACTATCAAAATTCCGGTGGTCGAGTTTTCAGTGAGTTAAATAAAGAACGTCTTTTGGAAATCTACAGCAATGCGGGCTGTGAACGAATGACTGCGCCGCATTTTATTATGGCCTTGATATCTCCTGTCGAGCTGGATAAATATCTTAAAGCCAACAGCATGTCGCGATCGTCTCTAAGCCTAGGAGAAATGCCATTCCTTCGACTGCCTAGTAGTCCCACTTTGCACGCATTATCAGGAAGGCATCGGTGGGAAGCTGCAAAGGAATTCTATACCACCCCACAGGACCGCTGGTGGGCTGTCGTGCTCTTTAACAAAGAAATGGTGCCCCCAGAGTGCTTAGTCACAATTGCTGAGGAGTATGACAATTCAATGCCATATCCTGATGGCGAAATATATGGACATGTCCGGACATACCAGCTCTTAGGCCGACGAAGGCAAGCGGCCAAATGGATCAATAGAATCTCTTCTGGCTCTAAAAGGAGGGATTTCTGGCGTCTACTTCAGAATCCGTCGTATAGACCGTTCTGTGATGCGCTTGATATGCTTTGCAGATACCCCGCTGTTCTTGCATCATTCAGTCTGGGAAATATTCGTCGATTTTTCAGAATGAAATGTGCGGAGGAACTAGCTGCATCTATTAAACATATCTATTATGCGTGGATGGAGATCATGGGTGAGCTCCCCGGCCAACTTCTGGATGCCGGTTCAGTCAACCGCCTCCAGGGTCGTTCCCCAAAATGGTCGTCCAGTGATGCAAGCTATGTCGATAGCTTATTTGCTAGTGGGCAGCTCTTTACAAACATACACGATCCTAGCCAACGCTCGTGGCTGAGAGATAGACTATTTTCGTTTAACGGTCTGATCCCCTCAATCAAGACTTTCTTGGAGAACACCAAGTTCTTGGAGCCTGCGGCTATATCATTGAGGGCTCTTCTTCCGAGAAGGTTTACGGGCACATTACGTCAGCAGATGCTACAACACTTCAAGGCATCGAAGAAGGAATTCTGGCCTGCATACCAACGCATTTGGCTTACAGCTCTACGTCTATTTCCTTACCTGACGACATTTAAGCCTCTTCAAGATAAAAGAGGCTACCGAGAAGAGTACGCTGGTGATTACTGGTGCATCCTGGCCAAATCTGCATTAGAGTTTGGCTTTAACTCCCCAAAGATTGGACAGATAGCGAAAAAATTAGGAGATTCAAATGTTTCACTCCACATTGCCAGAAACCCACAAATCTTTACTAATGAAGGACAGCGATGGAGATTAAGGCAGAGATGCGGCATGCCTACAGAGAGTACATTCAACAGTCTAAGTCCCTATCTTTGTTTGGAAAATATGCGATGCACATTACACCTACAGCCAGGTGCAACAGACATCTCTGCATTTGCTGTGGCCCGTGAAGCGTTCCTGTCTTTTTTTAATGAGCCTGATCAAGATACACACGCATCTCCTGAGACCAATGGCCAGTTAAACGCTACACCTGTTGGTTTGTCCCCTTCTACACAGCAAGCCGATGACCAGGAAATATTGCCCGATGCGCAAAATCCCCCTTCTACAACGCTTACGGAATGCCCTCCTATCTCAAGCCAAAGAGGTGACATGGTACTGCCAGATGCGTTAAACTTGACACACACTGTTTCACCTGAGAAAGAGCTGAGCCTACAGTTAGCTCTCCCTGTGCCGCCCTTTGACCAATCTGGCAACCTGCCTCGGGATTCCCGCGCAGTGACACCATTTCCAACATTATCTACCAATCATGAATTAATGAGTTCAGGAGCTGATCTTTGGGAAGCATCGGTAATCAAGGAGTTTGAGAAAATGAGACCGAGCGAAATAAGAAATCACCTCAAACAACTAAGCTCTCCCTACGGCATCTATTTTTACGATGAATGTTTATTATATCATTTCCAGGCTGAAGCTCTAGCCCATCTAGAAAGCTTCATGCGTGACAAGCAAGCGGGGTGGTGGCTTGCAAAGTACGACGGCGAAAATCTTATTACATTTGATCCAGCAGATGTAAAATACATTATAGAGACGGAACATGTGGTCGTATGTGGAAAAGGTAGAAGTTACTTTGAAGCCCAACGGGATGAAGAAGCCCAGCTGCTATGAGGCCTATATATGGAATGTAATACGCGTAGGCCCTAGCGTGGCCCCTGTTGGTATAGGCTATTACTGACTTTTCTTAGCGCAGGCCCTTGTAGGCGCAGGCCCTTATTGATTTTCGTTGGCGCAGGCCCTTGTAGGCGTAGGCCCTTGTAGGCGTAGGCCCTTGTAGGCGTAGGCTGTTGTTGATTTTCGTTGGCGCAGGCCCTTGTAGGCGTAGGCCCTTGTAGGCGTAGGCTGTTATTGATTTTCGTTGGCGCAGGCCCTTGTAGGCGCAGGCCCTTGTAGGCGTAGGCCCTTATAGGCGTAGGCCCTTATAGGCGTAGGCCCTTGTAGGCGTAGGCCCTTGTAGGCGTAGGCCCTTGTAGGCGTAGGCTGTTATTGATTTTTGTTGGCGCAGGCCCTTGTAGGCGTAGGCCCTTATAGGCGTAGGCCCTTGTAGGCGTAGGCTGTTATTGATTTTCGTTGGCGCAGGCCCTTGTAGGCGTAGGCCCTTATAGGCGTAGGCCCTTGTAGGCGTAGGCTGTTATTGATTTTTGTTCGCGCAGGCCCTTGTAGGCGTAGGCCCTTATAGGCGTAGGCCCTTGTAGGCGTAGGCTGTTATTGATTTTTGTTGGCGCAGGCCCTTGTAGGCGTAGGCCGTTATTAATTATTATCGGCGTAGGCGTCATGCATTATAGTCTTCAAGACTTGCAAGCTTATTATTATCACTTTACATATGGCCATATAGAATTATCGCATCCCGCATTATGGCCTACAAACTAAGATAGACCTAGTATCTATAAAGTCTAACCTATATTCCGCCATTCACAAAGATATCGGAAGACCTGGGCTGTCAACAAAGTCACGTGGACCCATCCGTTTCGCGTGGGGAAAAAGAGTTCTCTGTAAGGTGTTAACAGGGTCCTGATCGATATCTTTATCACTTAGCTAACAATTTGGCTCGGAGAAGGTGGCCAGCTTCTTGAAGAACTGCTGCTGTATATAATAGTATAACCGCTTTCGCATTTGACTGCCAGGTAGACTTTTGGTCGGTCGGATACAGATTGGGTGACAAAATTATTGGCAGTCTTGATCAGGCGGGCTTTCTTCCCCTCAAACGAGGTTCTTGGATTATGAAGCACGCAGTTCAACGGATTATATGTCTCATGCGCCTCCAAGCCGGATTGTTGAGATGGGGGCCAGTCAACATCACAATTTTTATAGATTACCATGTTGCCTTCCTGGCTCTGAACGATCAAATAGACTTTGCAATAAAAAAGCTTGCCAATCTCGTCACTTTGCCGAATAAGACGTGTGGACGCCCTTTTGAAGCGTGATCGTTCGTTTTTGCGGGTTTTTTTTCCCTGGAAAACGGTATTCATTCTTAAAAATTTCAGTAGGACTGAGCAGGTTAGACAGAAATTCCGCACAAGGACGCTCTACTTATATCCCTACGGTCCTCCACCTAATCTCTAACCGAGATATACTAAAATGGATCCCCTTATTATCTACACCATTTGTTTGTGCGGCCCGCTGGGTCTTCTCCTTATGATGAATTGCTTTGGCTCCATCCGTCGATGTTGGCCGCCTGGGTTCATGGTCAAGGTTTTCTACCAATGGTCCCTGTCATCGCCCCCCCGGGGTAATGGCTGGATTAGGCGCAGAAGCTGGAATGAGCTTTTTATACAGATAACTTACTGGACATGCACCCTCCTCTTCAACGGACTCATGGTGGAAGGGCTTGCAGGCATCGCCTCACGCGCAGCGTCCCTGGCCGTCGTTCATTTTATTGTGCTCCTTGCAGGGTCTCGATTGCACCTCGTTGCTGACACCCTGGGCGTCCATATTTCCTCATTCACTCATATACACCGAACGGCTGGATGGATGACCGTGTTGCAGGTGACAATTCATGTAATAACTAGTAGTCGCATTGAACGGATACGATGGTCCAGCCCAGGCCATCGAGAAGGCATTATGGTAAGGGGACAATCCTCACTATGAATACAATACTAAGCAGGTGGTTAGGCGGCCTTGTGCCTCCTAGCTCTCGTTTTAGTTTTGGTGAAGCCTCTTCGAAAGTATGCATACGATATCTCTACCAAGCTTCACTTCATCCTCAGTATATGTTGCCTCGTGTTCTCCTGGGTCCATCTTCTCCGCATAGTGCCGGGACTGTCGGTCTCGGAGCCGAATTTTAGTCTTGTCTGCTTGGAGGTGGCCAGTGTGCTGCTTTTGATAAGCACTTTCACACAAGTTGGAAGGATCATCCATCGCAACTTGTGTTTTGGAAAGCCTTTATCAACGGCAACAATATATCGAGATAATGAGGGCAATAGAAGCGAGGGAGATCTGCCACGCCCACTCAAGCTCTGCGTGCGAATACCGCGTGGATGGAACGTTCATTCTGGCCAGACGGTATACGTTTTCTTGCATACGATGAGGCTTACATCTCTTTTCCAAGCCCATCCGTTCACTATTTCCTGGTGGGAGGGGCCTTCAATCGCACACACCGCTCATAGACCCCTGGATGACGATGCGCTGAAGGATATGGAAATCATTGGACGGGATACAGAACAGGAAGCCCCTGACATATCCCGAAAGGGTGATCTTTCTATTTGGCTGGTTGTGCAGTCACAATGGGGGCTAAATAAAGATCTTTCCGAGGTCGCCTCCAACACAAACATAAGAGCCATCGTCGACGGGCCATACGGCAGCCATTCAAGTCTGGAACGCTTCGGACATGTAGTATTGTTTACGCAGGGGGCAGGTATCACTGCACAGATCTCCTACATCAAGGAGTTGTTCTATGGCTCCTTAGCGGGTAGACTTCCAGTGCGTCGGATCTCATTAATCTGGGAAACGCAGGAAGGTACGTAAAATGCAGAATAGCCAGGAAGCTGCGCTGACCGGCCATTCATAAGAGGACCTCGTTATCGTCCAGCCATGGATGAAAGCCATTTTAACAGAGGATCATGATCATCACAAGAATACAATGGTATGAACCAAACAGCTACGGCACCCTTTTTGCCTGCTTTGTTGCGGCTGTTGATTAGGACACGACATCAGATGCTACACGTCCAATTGTATCTTGTCAACCAGACAGCGAGCCTGCGCTACGGCCGCCGGGTGAGAAGCTTCCCTGGCTCCGTCGATCTTGGATCTGTGCTTAACAGGGAGATCAAGAAGCAATGTGGTGCAATGCTCGTAACAGGTGGGTCCACAGCATATCTTTATCTTTAATGAGGCTTATTAAGCAACACTGCAGTATCTGCTAGCGGCACGTTTGTCGAGTCCCTTCGAGGCCATCTACTGAACAATATCAACCGAGGAAACTTGAAAGAAATCGAACTAAGGTGTCTTGACTCTCAGCCACAAGGAGCACCTCAACTGGCGCGGGAGAATACAGTGAGCGTGTAGACTGTACTTGGTTGAATTCATGGTTTTGGACATTACCTGTACTAGACCATTCTAAACCACATTATATTCGGCGGTCGCTCAGATTGTTATTCGTACTAACATTTTTAATATGATCTGTCCGTTTTTATCAGCTTCTGTAGTCTACCCACTCATGGCAATGCGCCGAGCTCAGCTACGCGGCAAGAGTTTGAAGAAAATGTCTTCAGAACAGGACACCGACCACTATTTCCATGTTTGGCATGCCGATGTGAGCACATTGGTTATACATATAGCGCATATGGGACTAGCGTGAATAACTTATAAAAGGTCTAGTACATCGTCTTAATTGTCCCATCAAAGATTTCCCTGTCCCTATTCTACAAGGAAATAGAATGCAGTCAATCGAACCTGCGGATTTCAAATTGCCAACCTCCGATTCCAGCAGTGAATCATCGGAGTGGTCATTCACTATAGTGGCAAATTTACCGCTCCACCGATATCATATCGAACAGCATCATCAAGCAGGTCCGCTTATATCGAGAATATTTCAAGCAAGAAAGCAGTCTACAGCGGCTGAACAGGTCGAGCGTCTTGTCACAACCCTTTCGATAATTAATGGAGAGATCCACGATTACAATGTCGAGCACAATATGGACCAAAAATTGGGTATCATTGATATCGGGGTGTTCTTCTACGCCTGGGACGAAAGAGCATCGGATGTTCATCTGGAACATTTTTGCCGGCTTCAGCACTACCCAGTAGACTGGGCATGCCGGCCACCCGTACCTGGAGCCGACTATTATCCTTATGTGCCTGACTACTGGAAGAGGTGTGACTGGAAAACTCCTGAAGTACTTCTAGGTGCTGTTTGGCACCTACGATTGGGTGGGACGCCGGATGAAACTGTCGAAGACGTGGAAGATACGCTGAGGATCTTTGAATCCAAGTTCAATCGAGAGGTAAACCGACTGCATAGACGGCATGAAAACCCTAGTCCTTGGCTCAATGTCGGGCACTTGAGAGTTGGCTGTCTGCTCGATATGTATCGGGAGCTCGCAACCCTCATAAGTATTGGAGATCCTGGAAGCTATGCAAGATGTCGAGAGAACTTCCGCAGAGAATGTATGTTGAGTGGCTATCCTGAAAGCTGGGTACCTGGCTGGTACGAGGAGGAAAAGCCAACTTCCCCCATGGCTATAACGCCTTGCGAGTCTGTCATGTCTATCTGATATCAGATATATTAGTCACTTAGGTTTTTGGGATTGCAGCTAAGCTAATGAATGCTATTCAATAGGGTTACACCTGTTTATTAGTTCCAGAAACAAATAGTCATTTATATCTGCATTATCCCCGCCGCGCTAGTGAACATTGTGTATTCTCCGTATGCTAGCCAGCTGTCTATAAACAGCAGCCTTCAGGTAGCTTTGCAATATAAGTAATTACCTATTTGCGGCATGTATAATATTACCTACGAGGAGCAATTCCTATGCTTCAAGTCCTAAAACCGAATAAGTTTGACCAGGGGCCATATGGTCTCATGTCGCTTTCATCGTTTGAAGCTCACTATAGACTATAGCCATACGGCCTCGAGCACTTGAGCTACTTAAGGTCAACGCCATTCTATGGGTATTTTGTTGGGAGATCGTCTAGGGATTTTCCGCCTCCCAGATGCCAACATCAAGCGAACTTGAATCCCAAGCTTCTTGTCCGTTTCCAGCTGATAGCATATAAATACAGACTCGTAGTCTATAAAGAGATTATCATCCCAAACACCAAATTTATTCTTATACAAATTTTAAACTAAGCATTTCACCGTACCGTCTTCGTACAATACCATCATGGATAGCAATGATAAAGGGAAGGCAGTATCTTACCCCACTCTCCCTCAGAATAGAACGGACCCCAATGCCACGCTTCTGGAGCTGGAACCAAAAGAAAAACCAGATGCAATAAATCCAAGCGCTGCGCTTGAACAGGGTCATGAATACATGGAACAAATGCAATCGGACCCCAATGCTTCACCGCAAAAGAAGTTAAACCCCGCCTCCAGCTCCAAGTCCACTACGAAAGCTGAATCGATCATTACTCCAGAAGTCAGACAAAAAGTCGTTGACGAGATACTCTATGGCGAGCACACGGACTATGAGCGTATCCTAGGCGTTTCTAGGGCGGCTACTCAAGAGGAAAAGTATAAGGCCTACAGGTACAGGGTGAAATGTGTCCACCCAGATCATCACCAACAGACCAACCAGTCTAAGAGCCAGGCCAAGAGTGCATTCAATTGTAAGCCTAACGCCCCAGAATCCTAGTGTAAAACTAATGGGACTTTAGTGGTAAATACGGCTTACAATAAGCTCAAAGATCCAAACGCACCTCCGCCGGATGAAATTGAGATTGGCGCCAGCTGGGCCCCTGGAGCATACGACATCGGCGATGACAACAGCGATGATGAATCTAACAGTCACGAAGGAGGTTATGAGGAAAAGAAAGAAAATCTTACCACTGAACAACAGAAAGAAAAAAATATTCAGAAGATGTTGGATCGAATGAACGAGCTAATAATTAATAGCCGAGCCCGGACTGCACCCTCTGGAATCTTGCAACTTTATAACGCAGCGAGTGAGGACGTGGAAAAGCTTCTGCAAAATCCTAACGATGAAGAGACCCTTGAAAAACTGAAAGAAGCGCAACAATCAATATTAGATCAAGATTCAAGCTTCCTCCTCAATGTTGGACAGATGCGTGGACTAGCTATGGATATAAAGTCCCGGAGGATGCAGCTACGCACAAACCCAGGAGATATATACGAAATGACCAGCTACGCACACTCGTTTTGCACCTTTCAACATGAGAAACAATACAATAATTGGCCCTCAACCTGGTATCTAGACCGAGATCCTGAAGCGGCTCACATCGTGTATTGTGCGTTAGCGAATCCCCACGTCGAGGCCCTGAAGAAAGATCCCAGTAGCCTTGATCCCGAAACCAGGTTGCGCCAAATAGAGGAGTGGATAGATAGCTGGTGTCAGGAAGCTGGGGTCATGAGTGTTGACATGTTAAACGTGAGCGCCCTCCGGAAGTACTACTATAGGCTGGCCGCAGCCGTGCCCGGCAGTGGAGATTATGATAAACATCATCGTGACCTGGGAGATTACATTACGAAACACAATTTCCCCATATCCTGGGCAACTAATCCCCCAACGTCAGTAAACGAAAAGGATGGCCGCGGGAGCGCGAGTGACCCCGTTAGGACAACTGGACCAAACGCGGGCCCCGCCAAAAACCATTCCCCGCTTTCCTGGGTGGACAAAAGGGATGGCGGCCCCCCAACCACGAGAGATGGGGCGATCATTTATGGACACAAGCACTGGGTTATCGGTAAAAATGACGCATACCTCTTCGCGGTTTTGCCCAATCGTGACGTCCCAATCGGCGAATTGAGGTCCGGTACTCTAGTAGGGCACGACTCCAAAAAAGCATACCTTTTTTCCAATGCCGTCAATAAACTGAAGAGCAAGGGAGAGGAAAACCCAGACCGTTTCCAAAGCCGTTTCCAGGAGGCGGTAGCTGTTTTTGTGCACACTTCAGAACCTGAAAGAAGATCCCCGGAGACCTGGGTAATGGCGTTGATGGCCGATAGTTCAGGCAAAAAGCTGCAGAACATTGAATACGCTTTGTATACACGAAGTGAATTCACGTCGCTGCGGAGGGGTATAGATGGGGGGTTTGACATTGCGAAGATTTTCGCCGATCATGGAAGGATTCCACCCGGTAGACTTCGTTGGGTCCTACCGTCAATCGACGGGAAAGTTAACAAGCCCAGCCTTGGGCCGCCCCGGATTGCAGAAAATGCCCAGGCGCAGGGCACCGATATGGCCGAATTCGAAGAACTAATCGCTAAACTTCGCCGGTCAACCGCAGGGCAAGCCCCATCCCTGCAACCGAACCCCCCTGTGCCTCCGATGAGTGCTGCGCCATCCACGAATGCTGTGCCTTTCATGAATGCTGCGGCTTCTACGAAGACTATGCCTTTTATGAATGCTGCACCTTCCACGAATGCTGTTCCTTCCACGAGCCCTGAGACTTCCGCGAATGCTATGATGGAAATGCTTATGAATCAACAAAGCCAGATAAAGCACTTGACTTACCTTGTATCGCAGATGGCGAAACCGTCGACAGAATAAAGGAGTGGCGTAGCAGCACGTAAGCGAAGACGCAAGACTGATTTGTTTACACTGTATTCTAAAATTTGTGTTGGCGGCGTTCTTTGTCTACGAGCTTCACTTGTAAGAGAAAAGGTCTAAAAATACATGAGATTATCCCATTGGGAGAATGACTATTTGGCTCAGTAAATGTATAACGATTCTTGAATCAAATTGTCATAGCCTACGAAATCGACCCAACAGGGTTAGCCTTTATGTCCTCAGCCTCTCCTTTCCTGCTTCCTCTGGTTACATACAAGCCAAGCATCTTGACTTAAATGGGTAGGCTATAAGCACGTTTGTCTGATTAATCCGTCTATGTGTTTTTGTTTTTATGAATCTATGAACTTATGGACGAAATTTTTACGACATCTCGGGCAATATTATTTGATTCCCGGCTTATCTTTTACTTTCTGGCTAGTATATAAAGGCAGTACCAAGCTAACAGTGACGTTTCTAGACCCCCAACCCACAATATCACGAATTCCTCTACCCAATATGGCTGATCCCTCAAATGAACTGGTAGAACCTCAGCAGCTGCAATGGTTCCACAAATACAAGCACCAACGGGCAACACTGCATCTCATCGACCTATACGGAGCGTGCCTGGTAGATTCTACAGAGCCAGACAAGGCGGAAACAGCAGTTAAGCACCTAAAAATCATAAACTCCCGCATTCAGTTTTTGAATCATGAACTCGGCCTCCCAAGTGACCTGGGTGTCATTGATTATGGGGTGTTCCAGCACAGCTGGGAATTGAAACAGGACAGGCAAGTCGTCGAGCAAGGACTCAAACGATACTGCGCTACGAAAAGATATATGCAGGGATGGAGCAATATGCCACCTACACATGACTATAGTTACTTCCCGGAACCTGAGGAACCCGATAATGATGAGTGGGACATTTTGGTGCCTTGGCTTCGCCTTATATGGGCATTGCTCAAGAAACGCCCCCGGCTAGAGGCTCAACTGGTATTGCTTGACGACATTGAAGGGATGCTCCTAGAATATCTGGGTGATCCGGGCGAAGACCTATCCGTCAGCCCCTGTGACGCGTTAACGGCTATCATCTCTTTACATGAAATGAGCAGGCTAGCGCCCTATGATGCTGGCAGTGAGACCGGCATATCGATACAAGATTACGAAATCGAAAGAGAGAATCTCCGGCGTATGTGTGAATTTCAAGGGTTCCCATGTACCTGGATACCATTGCTTGGCATGGGAGGCAACTGAATTAAAAATGGTCACTCCATTGGTTACCAGTTGGATGGGGTTTTTGGTATAAAGCGAAGGCAAGATATACATAATCTGTTTGTTCCCTGCGTCAAAACAGAATACTGGTGCTGATTTCCCTGGTTGGAATAAACTTTTATCTTTGAAGCTCTACTGAATAGAAGGTATACACAATCATACACGGCCCTTGAAACCAAACTTCCTCGCCTCATGTTTCAGTAGTTCTAGAAATTAATGTCAGCCCTGCTCTATTTCTATTGTCTGTACCAAGACAGGCTAAACGTTTCTGGTAATAGTGCAGGTATATCACATATAGGTGTGGTACCGTAAAGGACCGCTATATTGTATTAAATAGATGTCCTTTACCTGTTGGAGCTAGACTGCTAAACGAGACCACCAATGATTCTCCATGTTCTCCAGGGTGTCTTGACGGACAAGCAAATGGACAAGCCATCATCACAGGTAGTGTTCCTGCAATTATTCCAAACCTACTACACTTTTTTTTAGACCCTCCATGGGCACTATTGTCCGTCACTTATGAGGAGATATCAACGAACACAAACATTCCTCGGGCCCATTAGTAGTGTGCACATCTCCTCCTGCATGTTATATATTCTCAAGCATGCCCAGAATCCTATTGTTGACATCCCTTATGCCCAGAAGCACTGTTGTTAGATCTTGAAGCCTCTCAACCGCCATCATGAGGAAGAGCTTACTTACGGTCGGCGGCCTCCTGGCCTCGTCTGTCTCTGGGCACATTCAAATGTCCAACCCTTACCCCATCCGCAGCCCGTTGAACAAGGACACGAGTGGCCAAAAGGACTACTCGTACACGAACCCTCTATCCACGGACGGATCTGACTATCCTTGCAAAGGATACGCCAAGGACCCATTCGAGTCGCAGGCAACCTACAGCCCTGGTGGATCGTACACTATGGAGTTGCAGGGTAGTGCGACGCACGGCGGAGGGTCATGCCAAATCGCACTTTCCTATGACTCGGGTGACTCGTGGAAGGTCATTCATACCATTCTGGGCGGGTGTCCGATTGCTAAAAAGTACGATTTCACTATTCCCAGCGATGCCCAGACTGGCGAGGCTCTGTTAGGATGGAGCTGGTTCAACAAGATCGGTAACCGCGAGATGTATATGAACTGCGCCCAGGTGACTATTGCTGGAGGTGATAACCGTAAAATAAGCACCGCTCTCGCCCGCCGTGAATCTTTCGGCAGTCTACCTGAGCTGTTCCGGGCCAATACCGGTGGCCCCGCAGGATGCAAGACTATCGAAGGAGAGGAGGTTAACTTCCCACTGCCTGGACCGTCTGTTAAAGGCTCACTCAGCGGAATGGGTTACGAGTGTACTGGCTCAGCTCCCTTCCTCAGGGGTGATTATGGTTCGAAAGCTTCTTCTAACACTGTAAGTTTAGCTGTAATCCCCAAGGCATCCTCTAGTGCTATGGCTCCTTCTTTCAGTGCTGTTGCCGCTACGGCTAGCATTGATGCTGCCCAGAGTTCTGCTGTTGCTAATCCTGCCAGTAACAAGGTTGCCTCTACTTTTAGGGCTCCTGAGGCACACGCTCAACAAACTACTGCTGCCGAGCCTCCGTCTGATACTGAAGTATCCTGTGCCCACGGTTCTATCGTCTGTGGCGCTGACGGCAAGTCGTGGTCGCTGTACGACAACGGCCGGGCGGCTCATATGGGCAACGTTGTCGCTGGCACGCAGTGTTTGCATGGTGCCATGCAGCGAGTTGCCTGAATCAGTAATTCGCAGCGTCGCTTTTTCGTGTTACCTAGTAGGATCCTCGCCTAGTGCGAGGACAGACTATGTCCACTAACTGATTCTCAATTGCCTATATTGATTCTTCTCAGTCTATGATCTTTTTGTTTTGACTCGTGTAATATTTATGCTATTCCAATAAGATGTGTCTGGTTTTGTTAGTAGCCGCTACCTCAACCAAAGCCAAAAAGGCACGTGCCCATGACGCTGTCTATATTAAAAATGGTTAGGGCCTATTTCCTATCCGCTATTCTGTATAGCAATCCAGATCCGAACGCGCAGTCCCAATGGTATCTTATCCTAGTTCCTTAAGTCATAGACCTTAGCCAAATTCACAAGGGAAAGAAACAAATATATAAAGAGAATATAAAGCGGAGTCTGTTGTACTCTAGCTGACACCAAATATCTACTATGTGATGTTCGTAGGATCAGGCAATATATTGTTGGACTCCATGGCCCTTACAGTATTTCTCATAATTAAAACATTGTCGAAACAGCTCTCACGATTGACGGCCAGGAAGTATGAAAAGATACCGAGGATAACGGCAGCGTCCAAGAACTGGGGCATGCGAATGGCTAGGTTGAAGAAGCGGAGAATCACGCCACCAAAAACCATCCTGATCGGGGGAGGATTCCTGGGCTGGAGGCTGGACGATGGGTAGATTGGGTTTGGGTTGGAATCTGGCAACAGCCTGTGTCCGTTCTATAAGGCGGGCGGACGAGGCGCGGCAGCTGGTGTTTCTGCTCCCACCGCTGCCGCTACATCTCTCGCCTTAGACGCATTTGCAGTTTCTCAATCCCTGGACAGACCATCTGATATTTGCTTTATCCTCTCTTTGAGGTCTATGTTGTCGTCGCTGGTGCTCCTCGAGTGGGACATCCTTGCTGTACGGTAACTGCCCTCTCGTCCCTTGTGCAACACCCCCGCCGTGACTGTGGTTCATGGCAACGGAGTTGCCGCGGGACACCGCTAACAGTGACACTGCTAGGCAAAATGGAGAACCTTCCTGTTGAGCTCTTGACAGAAATCACATCCACCCTCAACATTAGCGATGCCACATCTGCGCAGAGAGCTAGCGCCCCCATCGGGACCAGGGCCAACCCCTTCGCGTACTTGCGTCGCACTTTCGGGAACCCACTGGAGCTGATGAGCGCCATGATGGAAACCGGCACTATTATAAGCGGATCTAGAGCTCTGGAATACTTTGAGCCTGGCAGTATCGACGACAGCTCCGATTGGGACTTCATCGTGCATCCGGATGATACGGCCATTGGCTTAATGCTGCGCACTCTGGAATGCTCGGGAGTTACGTGGGATGTAGACATAGGCATCTTCGACAGACTGCTACATAGTCCTCGCGGCCACGTTGAGCGAACGTCTCTGGGCATACTCGACAGAGCCAACGCACACGCCAGACGCAACATGCACGCCGATACTACGGGCATGGGAAAGGCGTACTGGCAGGACGTGCACCGCCTCGTCAACAGACTCCTACAGATGGCGAACAGATCCGTCAAACAGTGCCGAAGGAACACCAGGGCGCAGAGCGACGAGGAAGGGGTGCTCCCAGTGGCAGTAGTCATAACAAAAGAGGATGACACCATTGGATACAGCGGCATGGCTCTGCTGGTGAGCTGCGAGATAGTCTCGGAGAACAGGATGACATATGCGGAGGACAACGAGGGGCTCCAGATGTACGTTATCAAGGGAAGCATAGACGTGGGAGGGAAAGCAACTGCAGTCCAGCTGATTCCGCACTTACGTGGCCGGCTGGGCAGCAAAGTTCGCTCCCTTGACGTTGTGGTAAGCTTCTACGCCACCCATGTGCAGTGTTTCATATCAGGCTGGTGCGCTGTGCAGCTGTTCCCCGACTTCACCAGGTGCAGAGCTGCTGCCTATTGGTCAGGACCACTTAGAGTGCGTATTTCAGCACATGCGGGACCACATGCGGCATCTGGAGTGGGAGATAACATACGACTCCCGGCTGCCCGTATCCAGGCGGCCCGCAGAGAGCAGGAGAAGAGGGCCTAGGATAGGTGCCATGTACGATAAAGAGTTCAAGAGACATATCAAGTTTAACAGCGCTCTGTCACAAGTTGAGGGTACTCCGCACACTCGTCTATACAGGACTGATGCTATAATGGCTGCGGGTACAGTTGGTCTCGAAATTCCTCTGATCTTCTAACACATGGCGATTGTTTTCTAGCCCCACTGCCAAGGACTTAGCTTAAGAATTATAATTCTCTAAAGGCTCATTAATGAGGGCAGCCGTAACTTTCTTACTAAAAAGAATTACGCCCGCCCTTACGCTGGGTAAATATAAATTCAAGGAAAAAGTTTTCGCAATGGGGCTGGGAAACGATCATCATGTGTTAGAAGGTCAGTGGGGTTTCGAGCTCAGTCCTCACGGGGCCCACTGGGACCATCACCAAGCTTAGCATCGCGCAGTTGCACCATGTCAGGCGTACGCTGTTTTCGCTGGAAGGGTCATTGCACAATAGGGATATCTCGGAGATAAATGTCCTCATCTGCATTATATGTGACAAAGCAAGTCGGTCCGCCGCTCTTATGATTCATCTTGCTTTTGCAACCTGAGGACCAAAAAAGCAGGCTCTAGACCTTATTTGGGAAAGGAACTTGTGAGACAAGTCAGGTGCATCAAGAATAAAAACTGTCTTGTCTATATAAGGCGGGACACCTCGGTCAGAAACCTACTCTCAAATCAACCTCGAGAGACATACTGGGAACGGTCGTCAGTGGGCACAACAGCAACTAGACAACATCAGTTGGAGCTCGGCAGGTACGTCCATTTGAACAACGCGGTAGATTGTACTGGCGGGAAAAAGAGATCTAACGAAAGTTACTTACAATCATTTAGAATGGAGATCCGCCGGATCATCGCAACTATTTGCATTGTGTGGACGGGAGTTTATGGACAGAAGTTTCTGTCCAGCTGTAACGGAATTGTGATGGATAAAGAATACATCCTTCACGGAAACTGCGAGAAACGTACGAGGGATGGGGAGAACGCAGAAATTGTGGAAACCAAGCTGGCACTCGAATGCTGTGTGAGCCATTCAAGTGGATACACCCATAAAGGGACCGAGTAAGTCAAAAAACGCCGGATATGCACAGGGAACCCTGAGTTGCTTTCGGGGAAAGCTAAAGCTAGTATAATAGCGCTGGTTCGAAGAGCATAAAGAGTTGTGAAAGCTGCAAGTACAAGGATGGAATACTAGAGTGTTCATGTGACAAAGGCAAGGATGGGTATGTACTTGGAGAGGAGAAATACCAGTTAAGTCAACTTGATCTAGGTCAGTAAATACGCAGAAATCGGGGTGGACTGGAAGGCGAAAGCTAATAATGAATGGAGCAGATGAGGTAATCAGTAACTACGACGGGCAACTCGTATGCTAAAGACAGCAAGTTGTCATGGGAGCTGGATAGTGGAGGTTATGAATTTGTTGTGTATTCTGTTAACGCCTTGAGTCAAGGGTCTCCGATCCCACTTCGTTAGGGCAGTATAATGTACGGCTTGGACATCGAGTAGTGTGGCATATATTACTATAAGAGCAGTCTAGTTGATGTCAACCCCTAGTGATAGAGAATTGCCTTATCCCTTGTTTACCGGATAAATAGGAGAAATATATTTTGTATTTGTCCCATATTATGGATCGTGGAAGTGGGGTTTAGAGATATTGTAGACTTTAAGTTGGTACTTAATTTAGGCACTTTTACTTGGACACTCAGTTAGTATACGGCTCTAAACATAATATCAGCTAAGAGATACGCCTACAATCCTGTTCATGCACGTATTTTAGCTTACCATGATGCCCACAAGTAGGCTCAGACTGTAAGGTAATCCAACCACCGTACCGCGCATTGACTTTTCACCGTGGCATTTACTGTAGAGGCGTTTTAAGTTCAAGTTAATAAAGTATTTAACTGTACAGAAAGGGCTCAGTACCGTATAATAGAAAGTTGATATGCTTAGCAATCAGCCGTGGTAATAGGAGCACCGAGGACCACAGATGTTATGATATCAATAGTTAACGTCTCCGCCGAATTAATTTTATAGGGCTTCTCGGTGCATCGGCGGGTGCCATGAGTAATACTGAGCATTATGATAATAGATAGAAGGTAACACCTCATTTTTTGTAGAAATGCGGTAAGGTCTGAATAAGGAATAAGAGCTTGGTGCGATTTCAAATAAACTAGACCACAATGGAGACACAAGCCAATAACCAGGCGAAGTGTATATTATAAAAATATTAGAAGTAGTGTATTGCAACTTTTTGGAGGGTTCACTATGGCTCCCCTGCTATTCAAATAGATTATAGCTATCGATTTTAATGGCTGAAATATGTATATTATGCTTACCTTAGTACATATAATCGAGTTTCAAGGTACTCAGTTTCAGATGCTGTTACATGAATCTATAATCCTACTCTGACTTAGATTATTCGCCTATTCTCCTCTTCCGAAAGGGGATTGATATCGGAGCCAAAAGACTACTTAACACTCTCTTTCCCAACAATTTTTTAAAATAAACATTCTTGTTTGGAGAGCCCACAATATGACGACTAGGAATATAAATTCAGTGAGTATGATGTTTTCGTATATAAGATAGTTCTAATAAGCCACAGTCCACGCCTCTTTTCCTAGAAAGCGACAATGAGTCATATGGGAATAGCAGATATGAGCAAACAAAGACAGACAAGAAATTCTGGCCCAATTGCTCTAAAGCCGATGAATACCAAAGAGAACTAAGTCAGGAATTGGGGCAGATGAAGCAACAAGTGGGGCAGTTAAAGTCAAGGCTACCAGACGCGACCAGAGAAAGAGATGCTACAGCGACTTTTGATGATCGTCAAGATACTTTTCCTGGTCCAATGGAGGATGGTACTTTTGTGGAAGAGGGCCATAGCCCATCCATATTCTTTCAGAATGCGGAGGGGTATGAAGATAACTCTACACCTTCATCTATGTTCCTCATTTGTTTAATGATTATTCTCCCCCCTTTTTGTCTATTGCTGTTTTTGCTGCTGTAATTGCCGAATAAAGCTTTACATATACCACTTCTACGCTATACTAGACCTTCCATTGAGTAGAGAAATAAAATTAGAAGACCATAAGTTACAGTACTGAAGACCTGGCTACACTCGATCCCGTAGGTCCGGGGTCACTCCAAGTCTTCGGCGCCAAAGGCGAGGGGCTAGAGTATGAATACATACATATATAAAGCTAAAGCGTTATAAGGTGTCCAGGTATCTGCAAAGTACCTAAGCAAAGATAAATATTATATTATGAAGAATCGACTTCTAGCCCTGTGGTTACTTTCTCAGCCGGGATATATGGGACTTGGTTCTCTTAAAGTGGTATTTTCTTACAGATCTATAACAGTGACGTTGTCCTAATCGTTCAAAGACAGACATATACTGCTATTCAAATAAACGCGCTGTTCCAATGTACGATATTGTATATCCGATAACATACTTGGAAAAGTCCCCTTTTCTCTGGGAGTATAAGAAGGGTTGTTCAAATGTTGCCAGCTGGAAAGGTGCAGGGATTTACATATGTCATGAGGTAAAGTTAACTATCTATTGTACTTCCCTTCCGTGGGTCTAGCTAAGTGCTTATAGGGATCAGATGCTTTAACAATTATTTCATCTGAAATAGCCCGGCTAGCCAGGGAAGGTAAATACACGTGTGGGGCAGCAGAACACCAAGTGATTGTGTCAACACAAAGGAATATTTCAGTCCTTCTATCAAAGCCTATATAATAATGTAGCCCTTAGTTTCAGAATTCGGGAATATAGTGTTAATTTATTCTATGCATAAACAGCTGCTAGAGCCAATGGCGGAATGAGTCTATTGATCAAGAAACTAGCCTTAAAATAGGCTAGGACTCATGTGCTTATGTGGTTCGAACTCTTGTTATAACCTTTTATGAGATGTAGAATATTTATGGCTCTAAAGTATTTATGAATTTTGTAATCCTCTTGGATGCCTTTAATTTAATAATATATACTGTAGTATCAGGCTGGTTATCATCTCTATTAGTTAGATAGATAGGTATTATATGGATCTTGGTACCATTAATTGCACACTTGTAGGTATACTCCAGACTTGATTCAATACATGTATCATCTAAGCTACAGGAGCTTTATTCTGAGACCTTGTATGTAAAAGCCATCAATAAAACATTCCTCATGTCTATCATTTGGACACTGAAGAGGAATGTAAAGCTCTATACAGACAATCGGAAAGGATCCAATTATATCCCTCCTACAGCCTGGACAGCGTGGAACCCAGCATTGATTGAGTAGCAGCACGCGAGCAGCTGTAATTACCCCATCTGCCTGGTCAAGAATGGAGTCGTGGTAGAGCTTGTTGATGCATGTATAACAGAACGGATGACCACATGCCAGCACTACTTCAATGCTTCTGTTATAACATATCTTGCATATGAATTCACCTGGATTAATTCTATTAGACAGAGGAACAACTCTTAGTGTTATTATTCAGGATAAAACTTACTAGAGCTATCAGACGAGCCATCCTCATAGTGGATATTAACTGAATTATCTGCAATAATTATTAGTTATCTATAGCACTAAATAGCTAAGTCAAACACCTTTCAAGTTATCCTTTCGCCAATTATTACAATACTGATCTCTCTGACTGTCACAGTCAATATTATCTGACAAATGTATATCTTGTTAGCTGGTATTCGGTCTCAAGGGATTTCAGGCTTTACCGCGCGTATCACCTCTTTGGTTGATAACCACAACCTCAGAGTGCGAGGTAAGCCGCTGGCTCGACGACATGAATTTTCTGATTTTTCAGCAGACAAGAAAACATAAAACTTGGCGTAATAGGGTTTTTATTATTTAGACGGATGGCTACATCAGCCGCATTATACTCTACCGTATATGTTCATTTTTTTATAAAGCACAAAAGGTACTTACGTCACATTATCTAACCTTAAACGTCACCAATTTGCCTAGTAATCTTAAAATTCTTGATAAACACTTGCAATATCTCCGTTAAAACAAGAGCGTGGTGACAGGGTAACATCAGACCATTGCTGCGTCATAACTTCACGCACTGCTAGCACCCTCAAACGCGTGGTCTACTACGTTGCTAGTGCGTTATATAGTCACAAAATTAGCGCGTCCAGACTATAAATATCAATAGCCTTATCGCCCTACTTCCTCATCATCTACTGCTGTAACTACCAAATCTCTTTCTTCCTGTCCATTTGCCTTCTTGACTATGAATTTCTTCCCACCTGGAAATGTCGAGAGACCTATTCTTAATGAAGGTTATAAATCCTCTTTGCCTGCATCTTGCCAGGAAGAAAATAGCCTCAGCTCGAATGTCCTGCGTTTGATCGAGGAGGAAAGTGTTGTTTCAGGCGATACTGCCCCAGATACTCCTTACAGTCCCCAAGAAAGCCAGGCGTTTGACCAAGACCCAACCTGGGCCCTAACGCAAGATGAGAACCTCCAATCAGGAGATGGACACTATACAGCTTTGGGCTCCGAAGTTGAGAAAACTGATAGTAGGTGATTCGATTTTATCTTAATATAACGTGAAAGTAGCCTAATCACTGCAGGTCTATTCTCAACATGCGGAACAGGCGAAGCTACGGACTCAACTAAGCTTTGTTTATCACAGCGAGTGAATCCGGATGGTACTAGGGAGTTTCTATGTCTTCAGATAGGATGGCACTCTGAAGGCGAATTGAAACAATGGAAGCGCTCGGGTGATGTTCAAAGTATTTGACCAAAGCGGGTTTTGCCCTAGTTGCTAAAGCTAAAAGGGAGCATAACATATATTAGTTAGGAAAAATCGCTAAAATAATCTGCAAGCAGTCCCATAGCAGTCAAACATTTGTCGTTCTACAATGCATTTATTAATGTTTTACATGTTAAAAGTAATTAAACATTTTATTGTATTTTGATCATCATTTTAAGATCCAGGGATTGCATACATATAAGCTATATTATATAGTTTGAAGAGCTTCATTCGTATTGAATTGGTAAAGTTCACATCAGCGCATTAGATATTTCCGACCAAGCCCTCCAATCTGCCATAATACATTCCCAATAAGAGATATATAAGCGACAAGTTTCGTGTTACAGACATTGCGATATCAGAGGCATTTATGCTTAATCATACAGAGGATCTCCTGCATGATGCATCTTTTGTAATGCTTATTTTCTTGGAAACTTACCCTAGCTGAACGGTGTCCGTGTATGGCGTTAATTGACGGTTAGTATATATAGACAGCTTTGCAATATATATTATTTTACTAGCTAGTTATTATAGCATTATTAGGACTATTCATCATATTGTCTTTCCTGCGTCATTTCTTTAAGAGACGGTGCTCTCTATCTCGAATCAACTGCGATTTATTCTATTCTATATATCTATCTAAGCCCACTTTGTACTTGGAGTACTTCACACAGGAAAAAGTGAGCGTGCTATTAATCTAACTGCGGTAAGGCAAACTCTGTTATATAAGTCGTCACCTAAATGACCATAATATAAGGGCGGCGGAAGATTATTAATATGCCTCAACTTATAACTTCTCCTAAAGTTGATGACACAAAATATTATGGGGTGAAAGGGCCCGCTTATATGCGTTCGAAAAGCTTTTGTTGTGTATGCCGAAAGGACACTAAAGTAGATCACAGAAATTTCTTGTGTGGTGTATGTGGCCACGAGAGCTGCTCGGAGTGTTTAGCAAGAATCTTAGCACAGCAGCCAAAGTTTCCAAAAGGGATTGCTAGTGCCTACTGCAGTGGAGAACGTATAACGCAAGCTGACTGAATTGGCACCGAGAAGTTGGCCTGGGAGCTCACCCATACTCTTCATCCACGCATGATATTTGTATTTAACAGATGCAGCTAGCTCCTGTGTGTATTTAATTTGGAAAAAATTCACGGATGCTTCTCAAACGAAATGAAGAGCGTCCAGTTCCTATATTTCTCCCCTTTATTCGGCGTGCGAACAAAGACAAGCTTATAAACTCCCTATAATAGTGGTTTTCCTACCACGTGAGATAAACGATAGTATCTGTGGCAGAAATATGTGGGTCTACCGAAGAAGTGATTATTCAACTGATTTATATGATCATATTCAAATGAATGAAGGTCTTGATTTTTTCTAACTACACGATAAAGAAGCCGATATTTATGCAATTTCAGGGCTTCACGATCGTCATAAATGAGCGGAATTACATGATTTATCGTCATAAATCAATACGGTTGCATGATCGGTCAAGTAAGGCGATGATATAAGCGGATTAGTCATCTCCTGCGGCCACAGTAACTAACTATCGTCCGCCATCTTCCACTTCTGTCTTCCAATTCTGTACATCGCACCCTTGATATGTACCCCACTATATCCACGCGAGACTACGGCCTACAACATTTGGGGTTCCATCTTTAAAAGCGAAGAATGGCTAAATAAAATTGTGAACGAATTTGGTGCCAAGCCATTTCTTGTCGGCTCTAATTTGGATGAGATCACGGTTCCCCCTAATCAGAGGAAAAACAAATTCATATTCGTGTTGCTACACAGTGCCGATTTATCTGGTGATATGAGATACGAAAAATCCAGCGATGGAAAGACGAAAGATGAGGAAACGCTTTTTTTCCAGTGTTTAAGTAATTACACAGTTACATAATTTTCACTCTTGAGATCAGACAAATAGTCCTTTACAGGTTCATGGTGATAGTGAACTGCATAGCTCAATGCATTTCGCCTGTAGGGATCCAAACGCCATGGATCTCCTCCATTCTCAACCAAGTATTTCACAGACTCCAGTGACCCAGCCCGAGCAGCATACTGAACAGGCGTACAGAGACCAAATCTATAATTCATCCTGTATTCTGGGTAGCCTTCATCGAGAAAATGATTGATTCTGTCCAGAACATGCGGGCTTCTGTTAGAAAGGTATTTCAGGATATTTAGTGCATCTGAATCACGTCTCATTGAAGCGAAGTGCAGAAGCTGGCCATGTTCGGTCGATCCTCCATACTGAAAGAAAAGCTTGATAATCGTGAATGAAGCCTCGGAGATAGCATAGGATAAAGGAGTGGCGTCCCGCAGCTGGCAGCGTTTATTAGGATCGGCGCCGTGCTCCAAAAGCCATGTTGCGAGACCCGGGTCGTCAAAAGTATAACTAGGGTATGTCAGATGTTAATCACGTAAGGAGCAGGGTATAATTACACGAGTGCTGAAGGGACTCCGGTATCAATGGCGGATCCTGTGTTGATATCCCAGCCACGATCAAGAAATGATTGAAGGATGTCGTACTGCTTTTCTCGGGTTGCTTTAGCGAACAATTCAAAATTCATAGTAGCTCCAATATCCAAAAGCTGTGCGGCAAGTTTGGAGTTGCCCTCCTCTATCGCTGTATGTAACCGGGTTGGAAGGTCTTCCATCTTTGCTGGTGGAGCAGCAGAGAAGGAAGAGGGAACTTCCCGACCGGGTTTCGTTTTTTATTAGTGGCGGGACCGACCATCTACCGGCGATCCCGCCACTGATAATCCCTTGCAGTTGTCTGTCATGTGATAAACGGTGCGGTGGATCTATCCACTGTAGCCTTCCTAATCAGGCTAGATCTGCAGGGTTTTATCTGTGGATAGACCCAATCACAAGCCACCCGGTTATGCCCAAAACCACTGGAGGTACAATAATGATATTGAGGCTTCATCTGTTCTTCTAAGGTGCGTTAAACGGATTTTTGGATAACGTAATTCCTGGAATGGCACCCCGCGCAGCCCCATTCAAGTGGGAGAGAACTTAGCGTTGATTGTTAAGGAAGCTATGGATTGGGCCAGGGCCTCATTCACTTATGCCCAACAAGAGGCCAAATGCCAAACGAGCAAGTCCCGTTTCCCAGCCCCCAAATAGGAGGAGAACGACCTGATCTGGTTAAGCTTGAAAAATATCAAGACCGATCGCCCAAGCAAGAAGCTAGTCTGGAAGAACCATAAGTACCGTGTTACCGAGACGATAAGGACTCGCGCAGTCCGTCTTTATGTTCCCCAAGGGGTACATAATGGGCCTAGTCCGCCCAGCAGCAACGGACCCTCTCCCCTCGCAAATACAGAAAGGCCGGCAACCTCTGGAGCTTCTAGTAGACGGTGAGACTGAATATCATGTCGAGGACATACTGGGGAAAGCCTGCTCTGCTATCACGTGAAATGGGCCGGACACGAAGAGCCCACATAGGAACCTACAACCGCACTACAGGACACTACAGCTACGCACAAGTGGGAAACTACGCAGGAAATTCCATGGAGGTACCCTCGCCGGCCAAGAACTGCCAGCTAAATACATATAAGACTGGTACCCTCGGAAAATCACATTAGGAACAATCCGATTGTCTTCCGGAACAATTGCCTTGCGAGTGACGTCGAACGAAACCTGCGTCCCGTCGCTTAGGGAATGAAGCTGGGAGTCTAGGACGCATTCACCCAAATGAGATGACCACTGACACTTGGAGAAAAGGGGAAGGGGATTCATGTTATATTGGAGCTTGCCGGTTATATGGCTGCTCACGTCATCTTACACTGTATTAAGTTGAGCTTCCACCTCCACCACCTTTCTGAATACAAGTATTTTCACACAGGGGCGCTTCAAAGTTATACATAGGAACTTCAAAACCACCCCTGGTCTACATCTTCTAAATACACTTTCGGTTCCGGGCCACTTCCGTCAATAAAAACCGTGCCTGCAGCAGGTGACCTGGCAGCAGGCTCTTGTATATTATATTTAAGAACCCTGGGCATTGGATTGTCCTCCAGGTTCTCCAAAAGAATATCCTCAATGAGATTCTTCTGATCTGGCAAAGCGATAGTGCCTTCGAAGACGCCACACACTATGCCGGAGGTTTTGACATCTGGAGCTAGACGAAAGTCCTTCTCATTCCGCAGTATATCGAGGAGCTTCCCCATTTGCTCCCGTGTGTGATTTTTGGCAGCCTGGGCATCCGTTGTCGGATATGGTAGGGGGGAAATATGGGCTAGGATTGCACCTCTCTTCGAAACGATCATAATGGCGGTGCAGCCATTTAAATTACCTGTGCCAATGGCTTTCTTCCCATCATTGATGAAGGAAACAAAGCCAGCCTTGTTCATGGGCACATTTAAGGCTTGCCCGGTTGATACGGCGGTAGCAAAACGTGACATGACAGGGACTCTGTTTCAAGAGAGGGATGGCATTAGTCTAGCATAGATAAATGGAAAAGAATTGGCTTACATCAACGTGGTAGTTAGTGGCTAGTTAGTTAACGGAGAAATTTAGATCTGCTAATGCCTTGATATGCCAAGAATATCGATTGAGAAAGAAGGAAAGAACGACAAATAAGGGTATCTAAAGGGTGTACTCTAGGTTTATATAGCTTTTGTGTTCGGCTTTGGTAAACGCTAATCATTCCTGGCTGAGGGGTAGACGGTAAATGAACAAGGATCAATATGCCCTTAACGTATTACTAACCACCGGGACCATGTTCCCCTGTAAGGTTTCATCGGGCTTCCCTTCCCATATAGCGCCAGGTCAGTCACATAAAACAGTGGCTGCCAACATTATTTGATCCGCATCTTCTGTTGGAACCTTGCTGCCTGATTTCTATGGCCTTAGTTTGCCTAACCTAGTTTAGTGCACATGTGGCCCACAGTAGATGTTCCACAGTTGGCTAGCTAGCTTCGATAGAGAATTCAAGCACTCTAGACTATCAGTCCTGTCATCTTCTTCCTCAGATAGCACTATTTCTATTGGAAATACACCTCGTGCATATCATATTCCAATATTAGTAGGCGCGCTTTGGTTCAGCTGATCTACATCTTGAATATGCGCTGGCCTATCTTTCCACTCTTCATGCCATTTAGTGTGATAGCTTCCTCAGGCGACAATGGAAGTATTCCCGCCTTAAGAGTAAGTAGGATAGCAACATAGTTGCGAGTTGATACGAATCTACCCCTCTATCTATTAGACAACACCCTACAAGAAGAAGAGATAGTGGTTATGCAAGAGAATTAAGAACCCTATCATTCGTATGGTATTCGCTCCTTAGTAGGCTACGTGCGTATAGCCGATACAGTGTCATTCTGTCCCCCTTCCCCTGTGAATCCCACAACACGAGTTGAATAACTACACTCCATGCAGCTTATTCTTTGGTTACAAACCTACCTTCAACAGCTTTGTGCCTTACTAGTGCCGAGTAAGTTGAAAATAATACTTGGGGGAAGGGCGGAGCACGAAACGAATCATGGATTCTAATTAACTCAAGTTGTGACTGCTTTTTACTCCACAAGAACGCTGAAGCTAGAAGCTAGGGAGGGATAACAGATCTTAAATTCCTACGGAGGCGGGTAGGTACCGGAACGGATAAATATACCGGAATTATGTATCCCCATGACTGTGGCAGATGCGGGTACGGCCTAAAAATGGTGGGTGCGCTTTCACCAATCAGACCCTTAGTAGGTCTGGGGCATTTACGCACTGAGCTATACTAAAAATATCGGGATTCCAAGCCAACAGCTTGGAACGCGTATCGCCCTATTGTAGTCTGCAAATAATCATAGTTTATTCTTAGTAAATCAACTATATATGTTAATACCTGTCACCTAAGTCAAGAGAATACCAGGAATGTCTACAATGTCTACTGCGGCGAATAGAAAGCGAGCTTCAGAGAGAGTCATTTGCCGCCAAAGATTATCCGAATATCTAAGTAAGTGTTTTGTAGTTATATCATATATGTTTACCTTACTAATAAGTCAGAGAACAACCTCTCAATATCTATCCCAGCTTCCGAAGTACGACTACACCCTATTCCAAGTGATCCCTATCGATGGCAGCATGACAAAGATTACAGCCATCTATTCAAGAAAAATCTTAGCGATCTTTCTACAAATAATTATATTCAGATTTGTGAAGCCTTGCAAGGCGGTCATATCTGGGCATTAAAAGAGACAGATTCTAGGAAGGAAACACCACAGGAAACAATATCATATGAAAAGCTCAAAGAAGACTTAGACAAACTGCAAGAAGAAAAGTCTTGTCTCCAAAGCGAAAATAAACAGCTGAAGAAGCTTCTTTGCTTTTATACCAGAAAATTGAAGGTCTTCCACTTATCACTTTCCAGAGCTGCAACACAAACACGCTCTACAATCCACATCATTGACCAGCTTCAGCAGTTGTCAGAAAATCAGGACTTCGAGTGAAATCTTGATACAAAAACATGTGAAGTAATAATCCAATAGTGTGAAAGCCAATCAAGATGATCAAAACTGATTTATTCGGTGCTAAAAGACTAAACTTTCAAGTATAGAGAAGGAAGGAAGGGAAGGGAAAGTGGGCGGACTGAGTAAGAGCAGAGTAAACAGTGCAAACAGAACAAACAATACCCGGCCCTCACAATAGAAATATGATTTTGTCAGCGAAAATGGGGCAATTTTACCGCTAGGATTCAACACCTTGCCGCTTGCCGTCTAGATCAACTCTGACGGCATTTCATGGCTTCAAGATAAGCCGATTCCAAAGAAGCCACGTAGTCATATTGCATGTTAAATAGCTTCATTTCGATCATCTAAATCAAGATGATCAGACCTTCTTTGGGCTTCGATTCGGCATACAAATTACTAGGCAATACGAAACCTTCATGGTCCAATAGATTTCAACCTCTTCAAAGATGGTATGCCTAAAAATAGTCCAGCCTTGGAATATACCGTGTACGGTATATGACGTGTTCTAGCTCTGGCTCAGCACGATCATATAATAGATTAACAACAGGCGAGAGGGGAAGTAGCAACTGCAACCCGACACCCTACTCCGTAGTCCCTGATTTGAAATCATCGTGATGTTGGAAAATCAAAATAGCACCACTACTCCTAGTCAATTTTTGCCTGAGGCTGATGATTTGCCGCAGGTCTTGTTTTCGCTACCCTTATTTGCTTCTGGCCAATAGCCGGAATAACCCAAGTCATTCCCTGAAAAAGCTCGTGATGTAGGTCAATATGATGGTGGAGGAGACTGATGTGTCATTGGTGGTGTGACGGTCTACAAAGAGTTTTAGTAAAAGACAAGTTTTTTTCTGACTCGTAGTCAAAGAATTTTCCCATGGGGAAGAAAGGCTTTTTAGGAGGAAGGATCTAGAGCCTCTATGTACTGTACTGCCTACCGGAGGGTCCCTCGATCCTATACTAACTGACCGGAACGTTCCTCCGTACCGGGAAGCTTCTTGGCTTCAGGAAGTTATAGATGAAGGAGACTTCGCATTGGGTAATTAAAAATCCTGCGGATACGCCGCGAAAATTCCCACTCAGGATCACGACCATGAGGCCTACAAGCAACGCAAGGAGAGTCGATGAAGACGAGGATAAAGGAGCTCAAGCTGATGATTGTAAACCAGATAACTAGGAATGTATAGAGAAGGAAGCAAGATAGGATGCTGCGGAAAATGGGAAGGTAGTTACCAAGGTAGGTACTGTATGGTGTAGTTTACCGCTAGCGCTGAGTAGCTATCTAGTTGGCAACCCTTCCATCTGCTTGTCACGGATCTGAAAGAGGTAGGTGCGCTTCTACAGATCCCTTAGTAGGCCGTGTGGGATGGCTATACTCGGTTGCGAAACCAGTGTCACCCCGAGTTTAGTCTCTTTTGTTCTCCGCAGTACAAAGAGGGTAAAGCGCCTGATAAAAGGCTTGGCAAATAAATATGATTGGCTTAAAATCCAAATCTTCCTATTTACAGACTAGTCTCTACTCGATAAAACAAAGAGAAGGGTCTGGAGGGGTGGCACTGGTTTCGACTTTGTGTGTACCCGCTGAGCTACTAAAAAATAAAAAGACCAGAATTCCAAGTCAACGACCTGGAATACACATGGCTCTATATGTCAGTTTTTCATACTGCTCTCAGACAGTCTTTCCCACTCTATGTATTCTATGTGAGTTAGTGAGGTTTGTTTAATAATGTGAAAATTGGTGATTTCTAAGCATTTTTTATTATTTCCTTGCACCTCTAGTGGACATTTTTTAGAACCGTTCCTAGAGGCCCAAGACCCGTGTATACCGTAGGAGCGTATTTGTGGAGAACGATGCGTACCCTATGTCAGGTAGGCAGCTCAAGTGGAAAGAATCGTCAAAGATAAAAGTTTTCCATATATTATGATCAAAAACCAACTAAGCTCTGTCAATTATATAGTCAAATGACGTTCCTGCAACCTGGCTTCTAGGCTCGCAAAAAGTCTATTCTATCGAGCGTTTCTTTCCACGTGGAGGCTTGAAGCAGTGAATATCTTCAAGATGGTAAGATAGCTCTGCCAGTGACCCACATTCTTGCTGGCATGCTGGATGACGACAATGGAATTTGCCAAGTAGAGCCTTACTGTTCAAATGAGATTGAACGTGGCTGTACCATTTGCTCATATCCAAATACTGTTCCATCCGTTTTGTAGGCCATAGGCTGCTATCGCCCAAGCAAAATGGGCAGTAACCAGGCTTAACTGGACAATTCCGGAATATTATTGGATCACATCGAAGCAAATCATCTGGTGTGCAGAGATGAACTGCGCAATGCTCGTGCCAGTCTTTCCGATTATTAGACCACAAGCCACACTCAAAGCAAAATTCCGCAAAGCAATCACTCCCTATTCGGCGAATTTGTTCTGACATACAACGATAGAGATGAAGCCATTGACGATGTGGACGGAACCTATTAAGTTAGTCGAGATAATATCACATAAATAAGAGCAAACTTACATATCTAACGATTTGCCGCATACACAACTTCCATCGACTGGCTGTAGACCTGAGCGATAAGCAACTTGATGATGATTTCTGCAAATTGCTTCTAACGCTAGTATAGCCTCTCGTCCAGTTGGGCTTCGTATAGATGACTTAGTGGGCAATATCCTAGCAAGAAGATCACGCTCTGGCATAGCACGTCGATGATAGAGGAAAGAAGTTTGTTCATAAATATTTCCTGATTGAGTACCTTGTTGGAGATGACGTTGTTGTTTTAGTTCCTCTAGATATAGTTTGTCCTTTTGACTCTGGATACGACGGCGCTGTAAACGTATTTCTTTGACAGTTTCGGGGTCATTTGCGTCTTCAAGCTGCTTTTTAAGTGAGGTTGATTCGTTATCAAGAGCTATAATGTCTTCTCTTTCCTGGAATTCAAACTCCGCTTTCGCGGCTAGAGATTGCCATAGGTTGGGGTCTCGGTACAGTCCCATACTCCGTCGATTTTGGATATGTTCATGGCGAGAGGCAATATTCAGGTAGGTTGCAGGTCCATCTACTTCGCACACAGGGTGAGCATATGACCTGCCAAAGGTGCGCGGTTCGACGTGTCCGGCCTGTTTCATTCGGGCTGTCTGAGAGTACTTTTTATCTGGAGAATGTTAATACTTATATATAAATAACTGAATTGGGATTTGCTTGCCTGCTTCCATAAGATTCCATCGGCGACACGCACGGGCAGTAACATTGCGATTATATCCACTTCGATGTCCAAGATCTGCAAACTCTTTTCCAAAGGCATCAGCACCTCTCGCTTTTCCAGTAGAACGTTCACAATCAAGTTCATTGAATGGTCTGAAGATTGGTATGTCGAGGATCTCATTTCTGAAATGAATGACCAAGATAATATGATTATCTTGTGTAACCAGATCAGTAAGCTTGATAGAGTCGACTGCATCAAGTATCTCAGAACAAGAATTATACTGGAGAAAGGCCCGGTCACCGGAGAACAGTGGCAACATAAACAGAATAAAATTAAAGAACAGGGGTACCTCCTCCCTATACACCTCATAAAAGGCATTTATTGGAAGTTGCCATTTCTTCATTCGCTTGTAACCTTTGATATACTCCCGAGAATATGTTAAAACCAGCATCGGAATCTGATCGACTAGCTCTACAGTGAGTACAAAATGCTATAGCCTATTAGTATTACAGCTTTCAAACTTGTAATTTTTAATCACGAACCTTATAGCATGCTGCCATAACAGCGGCACGAAGAATTGAATCCTTATCATCACTTTTTTTCTCACGAGCGACAGTTCGGCGAGCTGTTGATTCATGGACTTCACCTGTTCGGGCAGAGGAAAAACAATACAGTAACATTGATGCCGTTAGCTGTACTCTACTCCGATCAGGATAACACCCCCGGTATTCCTTAAAGTCCCTACACCAGAGCTGAGTTTGAAGGACAGTCAAATCATTCGGAGAGAATCCGTCTTTAGGCATCTCGACATTTGGAAGACCAAGTTTATTTGCCAGGTCTGATATAATATACTAGAGATATCTTTAGTATACTGTAGAGACCTTAAGCAGAGTTTAAGCAGACGAACCTCTTTCATTGTTGTTGACATACTTTGGGGGACATGGAAGTCCCTATTTCGAGATAGGCCTGCCTCAAAGTGCCGTCGAAAATTTTCAATGGTGTCAGGTGTGGGTTTATTCTCGATTCGCCCATCTGTATTTTTAGCTACAAACTCAAGGAAGGCTTTGTAAGTTTGGATGTCAGGTGGAGAACGGGCGGCAGGGTGTAGCTCTAGGAATCTGAAAATATCAGTAAGAATTCTCTGCAGACCAGAGATATTTGTCTACCGGTCAAATATCCCAAGAGCTCGGTCATATTCCTCTTGTGTTCGTGGAAGAATAGCTCGCTTTATTTCTTTGTTATTATGATCATCGAGGTTGACTACACACGTAAACCTCGCTGTTGGATCTTGTCGCATGTCGAACGAGTAGGCTGAAGTATGAAAGGAAGAAAGATAAAGGAGGAAAGATAAAGGAGGGAAGATAAAGGAGGAAAGACAAAGGAGGAAGGATAAAGGAGGAAGGATAAAGAAGGAAGGATAAAGAAGGAAGGATAAAGAAGGAAGGATAAAGAAGGAAGAGTAAGACGGTGTGAGCGCCATCTTTTTAAAGGTGTATCTGCCCCTCTTTCTGGCTTTTGTGTTCCAATATCAGAATGCTACGTTTGGTAGCTTGGGTGCAAAATATTCAGGGGACTGAAGACTTCACCTGAAGCCGCCTGATCAGCAACGTCAAAGCGGCAAGCCTGCGGGCGCTGGGGTGGGTGACCACGAACATATAAGTGCTGTTGTATGTTTTTTTGTTTTTGTTTATTTTTATGCTTTAGAGACAAAACCAAGCCCGGCTTGCTTTCTTTGGGTGTTTTTTTGTGGGTGGAGGAGGTTCCTGACCGGTAATAATATATTTTCTATCGATCACCCGCTACTTTATAATTAACAAGTGACTCAATTCCACGAGAATCGTACGACGCACCGTCCTGCCTACTTCATGCTATAAAATAAATAGAAGAAAAGGCTCGAAAAGTAGATTAATCCACTACTACCATTTGTTTATGTGCTAATAGCGTACATCTGTCTTAACTTAATATCTAGTGTGACGGTCTACAAAGGATCTTAGTAAAAGACAAGTTTGCTTATGACTCGTAGTCAAAGAATTTTCCCATAGGGAGGAAAGGCTCTCTAGGAGAGAGAATCCAGGGGCTCTATATACTGCCTGGGGCTTTGCCTCAGGCAGGAATGCTTGCAGGATAACTAGGAATGTTCCTGGATGCCTACCGCGGAGGATCCCTTGATCCTATACTAACTAACCAGAACGTTCCTCCGTACAGGGAAGCTCCCTGGCTTCAGGAGGTAACATCTAGATTGATGATGAATATGAATGTAATAACCCCTCAGATCATTAAATTGAATACCCCGTTACAGCATTGCTCTTCATAATAAAGAACACTAAGAGAGACATCCCTTTCCATAAGTCATTTGATCTCCGAGAGGCGGTGTTAAAAAGTGATAGAATACAAGTGAATGTTACAAACTTAGTTTTTTTCACTACCGGATATCGCTTTAACATTATGACATTTATCATTCCGCTCATGTTGATGACTAAATTTATTTTTGAAAGATTTTCAATAGTAAGGCGGTGTCGTAACTGCTCACTTCTTGAAGAACTCTTAAGAGATTATTATTGTCAATCGTCTGTGCCCTAGCAAATGGCCCTGGAATCAGTGTTTGCATGAAACAGGGTTGCACACGCATAGCTATGCATGCTTATATTCTAATGGGCTCAAATTTCCAAGGAGATACAAACTAGAGGCGGAGGAGGGTATGACAGGTGGACGAGTGGATTAGCTTTAATTTAATCCGGGGTATGGCCGCGTAGTTGTTTATGTCCGGTGGGTCCGGGAACGGCAACTCGGGGGCGTCTTGTCGCATCTGTGAAACATATTCTGCGCCGTGCCCATTACCAATTAGCGCTTCCAACTAATCAATACCGGGAAATTCGAAAGTCCTACGATACTTCTTGCCTTCGTCGGCGGCTAGCTCCAGCAGGATGTCATTTTCAAACGTCTACGCCTGGGGACCGCGCAGAAGGATACCCACTTCTGTGGCCAGAGCTGACACCCGCGTGCTTCCGCCAGTCACCTCCTCTATATGAAAGTCTTCTGGTTTGACACGAGGAGTAGAGTCAGTAGCGAACAAGCTCCTGGAAATAGCTCTCTTTTGGCTGTTGGATTTTCCCGGCAAGGACAATCTCTATGGCCAAGGACGGCAGAAAGGGATGGAAATATGCCGATTCTGCTACTGGAAAAAATTCAAGTCTCTCAGAAAGATGTTCATATGCAACAGAAAATCACACATTCAAATATCGCTCGAATATCATTGTACTACTTATCCATTCTACTCAACGTATGAGCAGGCTAGTTTTCTGGTTTTTAACTGACACCCAACGAATCATGACTCAAGCATATGTCAACCAGTAGCCCTCGACAAATGATCAAAGTCTTCTATATTTGATCTGGTAAGAACTAGCCGCCTATTTATGATAGACAGGAGCCGAAAAGGCTAGCTAACTGCGAAGCCTAACGAAAGTCCTCTAATAGTGTGGAATCCAATTTCCTGTCGTCGAACTTTCGATACTTGGAGCGGGCGCGTCTCACGAGAAGATGGCCAGGCACACCAGCATGATCTAATAATGTTGGCGATTGAAATCGGTTTTGCAGAGCATGCGACGATAATGTGACCAATTTTAGTCACCTATTGATTGATACATTATACGTCCTGCTCGCTTATGTCCTGGGATGATACAACCCGCTTGTCGTCACAATAACTATGCAACCTCCAACCTTTTTACCTGACGATTGTTACGAAAGTCAAGAGGGACGACTATTTCTCCCTTGAAGCTAAGCAGGGTGACTTCCCAGCCGTTCGATGTCAGATGGTCAACATTTTGATCTACTACTCAACCCGCCTCTTGTCATTACTCCTCGTTCCCTTCACTATAAAGCCTTCCTGATGAGACTGCATTTTGTTGTTCGATTCTTAACTCCAGCCATGTCTGGTCTCAGTGATATTCAAAACGCAGCGAGAGAAAGTCAACAGCAGCACCAACTAGCATGGCTACATGGCTAACTGAAATGATGAGACTAGGGAACGCTTACGATTTATAATAGAAGAATGCGAAGACCTCAAATTCAATTCTGCCGGAACGAGACCCAGGCACTCTGCTACAGGGTCGTCAAGGAGAATCATACTATTTCATCTCAATCAAGACCATGGGCTACCAAAGCATGAGATAATGAAGGTTTGATATCAGGTCATCGAGGTCAGTAATTCAACCAGGTGACTAGGTGATGAATGCTGGACCTTCCTGCTGGCTTTACCTTCATACGCCTCTCACCATCATTGCCTGTTCAAGCGACTTGTGCAACTCTCGTACATGTCTGGGCCCAAATACATCGTGATGCTTCCCCGGAAGCCCGTAGTATTTAATTTTCTTTCTTGAGAAGTCTTGCCATTTGCCCAAACGTTGCAACCATTCTTCCTTAGTAGCCCCGACCATCTCAAGTGGATCGCAATAAAAGATGTCCAGGTGCTCGACCGACCCTTTAGGTTGGTATTTCCTTGCGATTTCTTGCAGACTAAAGGTGACATTTGCCCAATTCTCCAATTTCTGCTCATCCAGCGCTAGATTAGACAACCGGGATGCGTTCGCAGAATGGATGAGGCGCGTGATAGCGTCTACCTTGGACAAGCCTGCTAACTCAGTCAACAGTGTGCGGAACACATCCTCTGTTATGACGTCCACAAAATAAGCCAGATTGAGCAGACAGTCTGACCATTGCACTTGCTGCAGACGTGGGTGCACATGCGGTGGGCGGTTGACGCTAGCCAAAAAGCGTACTTCGTCGCCATTCTGTTCAAGAATTTTGCCAATCTCAAAAGCCAGCATTGCGCCGTATGAATATCCCATGATGCAGTACGGTCCTTGAGGCTGTTGCTTTTTAAGATTCGAGTAGTAGATAGAAATACACTCCTCCAGGCTGGAGAAATAAGGTTCACCAGGAATGAATCCTCGTGCGCGGAAGCTGAATACTGGGCGATCAGTAATCTGCTTGGCCAGGTTCAGGAAGACGAGTGCTTCGCCAGCTGCTGGATGTATCAGCCAGAGTGGGGGTTTCTTGCCCTGTATTTGGAGCGGCACAAAGGGTGTATATGCATCAGGCTCTTGCAGTGACACCGCTAACCTGCGCACTGTTGAATGCGTGATGATGGTGGCAACGGGAACTTCTTTGACAAGGGCTAGTCGTCTTTGAAGACATCTTTGCAGTTTGATTAGGCTGATGGATGTCAATCCCATCTCAAAAATGTTGGTTGTCGCACTGATGCATTCTTGCTCCACGTTCAAAGCATCTGCAACTTCCTCCAAGACTATCCTCTCTATGTTGTTTTCTGGTGGCAGGTAGATCGAACGCTGATATCTTTCGATCATTTCGGCGTTCCTCATCTGATCAACCTGGAACTGGCCATTTTCAAACGCTCTGGACATGACAGATCTTTCTATCTTTCCAAGTGCTGATCTTTCAATCCTTTGCACTGGCAACACGATCGGATGACTATTTGTTATCATGAAAACTGCTTTTCCAATAGCTTTCATCGTGTTATGCCGGGCCTCAAGATCCCCATTTGGGTACCTAGGAACATACATGATACAAACAGCTTCTGTTGGAGCACCAGGGGAATGTTGGGAAAAGCACACCAAATCTCCTCCCGTGACCCCTTCTATGCCTGCGTCCTCGATCGCAGCCTCGAGAGTCTGTGGGTAATACTTGACCCCATTGATTGAAATGACATGCTTCGTACGTCCGACCAGGACTAGCCTCCCACTCTTATCTGTGAGTGCCATGTCTCCGGTTTTAAACCATCGATCCGACGTGAATGCTTCTTCAGTCGCGAACAGATCGTTATGGTAGGCGGAAAATACGGCAGGGCCCTTGAGTTCGAGGTTTCCAACCTCGCCTGGACCAGTCAATGCACCCTCGGAGGAGGTGATGCGGACTTCAATCCCAGGGACACCATATCCAACAGATGCAAATTCATACTTCTGCTCCAGGTCATGCGAGGGAAATGAAAGGTTATATATCGATCCAGCACATGTTTCGGTCATGCCAAAAGCCGGCACAATGACGTTTGAAGGCGCGCCGTGTTCTTGAAGCCGACGGGAGACCCGAGAGCAGTTCGAAACCACGTTTCCTTCGCCTCCAGACACAATGGCCTGCAGAGAGCTCAGATTAAAGCTGTCGCTTGCTGCGCCAGCGGAATCAAAAAAGCGCTCAAGTTCTGCAAGGAAAAAATTCGGAGCAAACGTCCTAGCAACGTGATGTCGCTCGATCACCCGAAGAAAGGTAGATGGCTCGGACACGATGTCTTCCGGTTGAACATGCACTTGGTCTGTCCCGGTGAACAAAGAAAGGAGGTGTATTTCAATAAGGCTGCCGACATGATCAAGCCGGATCCAATTCAAAAAGGCACCGCCATCCTTCACGGGTAGAATCGCGCATTTCCCCTGAAGGGAAGCAATTATCTGCCCATGAGTCAAGCAGACTGCTTTCGGTAGACCGGTGCTACCAGAAGTTAACATAAGTAAAGCCGTATCAGCTGGCTTAGAACTGAGAGGGCTAGCGAATGCTCCGAGCGAATTATGTCGGGGTATCCCAAGCGTTTCAACGTCGATAATATTGAGATCAGTATCTGATGGGAATATGGACCGTATATTCGAGCTCGTTAGGCAAACAGGATTGTCCAGAAGACTATTCAGATGGCACAGATGCCTTTTACAAGAATCCGTGCTTTTTGGAAAACCAGTCGACATGGCGGGGACACATCCTGCATGGATAACAGACCACAGCCAGATAATATTATCGAGATGATTTTCGAAATGAAGTAGAACGATAGAGCCATCAGAACACACATTGAGGTTGCGCAAGAGATTGCCGTTACCGATTACCAGCGTATAAAGGTCCCCATAAGTGAGCCGCTGGGCCTCCTTGTCGATTGACCCGCTGGGGTAGGTCACAACCTCACGGTTTGTGCTGGAGCTGGCTGCGTTGCTCAGAAGCTGGTTGAGAGTTTGAACAGTCATGTTGATATAATAATATAGTCCCTGGTCCAGACCTTTGGCAGTGGGTATGAATGTCTTCTTGATTGCTGCAGTAGAGTTTACAACTTTCAGTTGAGTTCAAAAGGCTCAGGTCGAAATTGTATACAATGATAGAAGCCTTCGAAACGGGACACCTCGCCCCCCTCTTGCATTTATCTTACAACCAACTATGAGCATGATGTCACGGAGAGCAGCATTAACCTATTAGATAAAATCAAGCCCAGTACCACTTTCTTATGGAAAAAGGGTACGGGTGCAGACCATATCATGTTTTCCCATAACTCAAACGGGTGTGGTGCTCATAAATGCCATTAATTGCCCTAATAAGGGAAGTACATAGCTCAGGCGACCCTTGTATCTGGATATTTCTATTGGGGCTGAAGCTAAATAATTGAAACTAGCGATCAGAAAAATTTTCTCTTGTTTTCCGTGGGACACTTCGCCTCCCCCTTGCATTTATCTTACAACCAACTATGAACATGATGTCATGGAGGGCAGTATCAACCTATTAGATAAAGCCAAGCCCAGTACCATTTTCCTATGGAAAAAGGTTACGGGTGCAGACCATATCAGGTTTTCCCATAACTCAAACGGGTGTGGTGCTCATACATGTCATTACTTGCCCTGATCAGGGAAGTACATAGTTCAGGCGACCCCTGTATCTGGATATTTCCATTGGGGCTGAAGCTAAATAATTGAAACTAGCGATCTAAGAACTTTTCTCTTGTTTTCCGTGGAAAATGTATACAAAGTTGGCTATTCCAAGGCTTCAGCAGCGTGCGCTAAAGCACATGGTATTGTATAGAATCAATTCCCCTTCATTTCCATGTCAGTTCTGTTTTGAAGACCCACAAATTCACTCAAATCCACATCCAATGATTTTGTGCGATCTACTCTCCTTATGATAACTACCTTTATATATGCCTACTAGGTTGAAGTACGTCAAACTCGGTACGATATTTATATTCCAAAAGACCACGCGCAATTTGTTTGGGTGTGCATGAGAATATGACATTAATGAAATCGTACACGTAATACGCAAATTGTAACCCTTTGAATGAAATATCGAGGATCAAAATTTAGGACTCATTATGTGATTAGACGTACACAGTGAGCTGGCAAAGTCATGCTACGTGGTGGAAGTTTCGATGAGTCTATACCGGCAGGAGACAACAGGCTGGCATTCGGATTATTTCTCATGCTCCATAATTTTCCACCTTTATATATACGGATGTGCAGGTAAGCAAGGGCTTGTTGATGCTTGCAACTACGCTATCTTATAGCCACTCACAAGATAATCATCAAGAGGGTGAAGTGACAATGCATTGGAAATTTGGTCTTTTTTGTTGAAATATTACAAACTTCTGCCCCCCAATTTGTCACCGCGAGGGCTTGCATAACATGATATGAGCCGTTGGCGTGAGGTGTAAAAGATGGCGACCTGGGTGTTCTTTCACCGGGCACACTCCCATCTCTGTGAATTCCATAACCCCCTCCCGGCGTCAGGATGCGTATCCGATCGCCTGCCTTGACTTGACACTGGTTCTTCCCGCCGATATTGACCGTGAGTCCACTCTTCTTGATCCAAAGGTTGATTCCACGGGCTCCATCTTCCCCTCCGGCTATCCCATATGGACGGAACACCCTGCGCTCTGAGAGGATTCCGGCGTGCATGTCGATTTGAAACTCCAGCTCACGCACAACGCCATCTCCACCGGGAAATTTGCCCTTATGATGTAGCTAACCATAGATTCAGACTCATTAACTCGTCCTCATCTCATGCACCATTTGCGTTCTTTCCCCCCACAACCAGTCCATCTCTGACAATCGATCATTATGGCTCACCCCAGACCATCGGAACCTGTAGCCGAAACCTACCGTTTGCCAATGACAACACTTCTATCCTACGATTTAGCAAGTTTCAGCTCTATGAGCGCCCTCTGTGACCATATTAAACGACTAGAAAGCCGCTGGGGCCGTCTCTATCATTTTACTAACAGTACTAGCCTGGTGGAAACAGTCAACTTCGAGACCGATGAAGCACTCCTGACCGGCGAGTCTCTTCCCGTCCAGAAGGAATGTGACTCAACATTTAAAGAAGACACTGGCCCTGGCGACCGTCTCAATATTGCTTATAGCTCGAGCACGGTCACCCGTGGCCGTGGCCGTGGTGTCGTCGTCAGTACAGGTATGTCCACGGAGATCGGTTCCATTGCTCTCGCATTGCGGGGTAGTGACAGTAAGCGTCGTCCCGTCAAGCGTGATCCTAACGGTGAAACCAAGAAGCGACAGTACTTCCAGGCTTGGACTCTCACCGGGACGGATGCTGTGGGTCGATTTCTCGGTATCAATATCGGAACGCTCTTACAAAGGAAGCTGTCAAAACTTGCCTGTTTACCATTTGGAGTTACTGTTATTTTTGCCATTGTGTGCATGGCTGCGAATCTCTTCAGCAGCAATACCGAAGTCATCATGTATGCAGTTGCAACCGGTATTAGTATGATTCCGGCGTGCCTGGTGGTCGTGCTCACAATTACTATGGCAGTAGGTACCAAGCGCATGGTCCAGCGGAACGTAATTGTTCGCAAGTTAGACACGTTGGAAGCACTCGGTGCCGTCACCGACATCTGTTCCGAGAAGACCGGTACATTGACCTAGGGCAAGATGGTTGTCAAAAAAGCATGGATTCCGTCTCAAGGAACTTACTCTATTGGCACATCTAATGAGACATTCAATCCTACCATTGGAGATGTCACCTTCACACCAGTATCTCCTTTGCAATTCGATGACGAGAAGGAAGGTCCCGCAGCAGAAAATGCAGAAGGCCTAGTCTCGGGAAAACGCCAGCTCGAGGATTTCTTGGACGTCGCGTCTATGGCCAACCTCTCTCATGTATACATGTCCGAAGAGGGCGAATGGAACGCGCGGGGTGAACCCACAGAAATCGCCATTCAAGTCTTTGCATCGAGGTTCCACTATTGGCGATATTCGAAAATCATGACTATATAGTATCGTGAACAGCCCTAGTGCCAATGACTGATGACCACCGTGAAAAAATCTTTCAGAACATGGAGGAACTTGCCAAGCTGGGACTTCGGGTATTGGCTCTAGCTCATCGACCGTATACTGGTCAGGCACAACTGCTCGAAGGTTCCGACCTGGAACGTGAGGATGTAGAGAATGATCTGTGCTTCCTGGGACTGATCGAATTGTATGATCCTCCGCGCCCCGAGACAGCGAACTCAATACAAGCCTGTTACCGGGCTGGTATTGTTGTCCATATGGTCACTGGCGATCACCCTGGCACTGCCAAAGCGATTGCTCAGCAAGTGGGAATTCTTCCTGCTGATTTCAACGCAGTGGCGGCCGATGTCGCGGACGCCATGGTAATGACGGCTAGTCAATTCGACAAACTCACTGATGAAGAGGTGGATTCGCTTCCGACTCTGCCTTTGGTCATTGCACACTGCACCCCACAGACTAAGGTACGCATAATCGACGCCCTTCATCGCCGTGGTCGCTTTACGGCCATGACTGGAGACGGAGTGAATAATTCTCCCTCGCTCAAGCATACTGATATTAGTATCGCTATGGGACAGGCAGGTTCCGATTGGCCAAAGATGCATCTGACATTATACTTACGGACGATAACTTCGCGTCAATTCTCAATGCCGTTGAAGAAAGTCGTCGTATCTTTGATAATATTCAAAAATTCGTGCTTCATCTTTTGTCAGAAAACATCGCTCAGGCCTGTACCTTACTTATCGGACTGGCTTTCAAAGACGCTGATAATCAATCTGTCTTCCCTCTGTCACCGGTCAAAATTCTCTGGATTATCATGATTACATCGGGTATGACCGACATGGGTCTTGGAAAGGAGGTGGCTGCCCCTGACATCATGAACCGTCCTCCCTAGAGTAAGCAAGGCATATTCACCTGGGAGGTGATCATCGACATTCTGGTGTATGGTATCTGGACCGCAGCGCTCTGCCTGGCGGCATTCTCTGTCCGCATGTGGGGATTCGGTGACGGTAAACTGGCCCGCGGTTGCAACAAGGAGTGGTCAGAAAAGATCAAAGACCGCGAACTAGTCTTCCGAGCACGTGCCACCACGTTCGTGTGCCTGACTTGGTTTGCGCTGTTCCTGGCTTGGGAAATGGTCAACATGCGCCGGTCTTTCTTCCGCATGCAGCCAAAATCCAAGAAATACTTTACACAGTGGATGTACGACGTCTGGCGGAACAAGTTTCTTTCCTGGTCCATCATGGCCAGATGGATCACCATGTTCCCTGTCCTCTACATCCCCGTTTTGAACGACGTCGTCTTCAAACATAAGCCCATCACCTGGGAATGGGGCATTGTGGCGGTCGAGGCTGTTCTGTTCTTCATTGGCGTTGAAGCCTGGAAATGGGCTAAGCGAGTCTTCTTCCGTCGCAGAGCCCGAAAATATCCGAAATCGAGTCCGTTAGAAGACATTCCGGAGCGACTTTAACGAATGCTTTCCCTGGTCCGACATCAAAAGGGCCGGGGAAGAAGCCTTCACGAGGTCTTCGTACACACATCAAAGAAACGGATCCACTAGGAAAATTCAGAACATCATCCATGGATATCTGGATTTTGGGCTCATGAGTTCGCTTATTCGGGGCTGCGCTGTCCCAGGGAATACTTTTCACCCACCAAACATGTACATACGGCAGAAAGAGCAGGCTCGGCGAGCTTATAATAGTTTATCGATTAAGCTCTATTGCTGGGTCTTTTAAACTAAAGATAGAAGCAAGCATGAGGTCATTCATGCTATCCCAGGAAACAACAGTAAATATAATATACTACTGCACTCAATGCTTTCAAGCTCAACCACTAAAACGATTGAGGCTTCACTGTCAATCGGATACAATTAGGACTGACTTGGCCAGGTTGGTGATGGGAAATGAAAGGATGAATATTACCACGTTATAATATTTTCGTGTTCGTGATAGCGAATTCGGCCATCCTTATCAAACGAATGATTCCTATTGTGGCACTCTTTTATAATAACACATCCTTGTCGTTCAGAAATCTGCGGGCAAGCCCCATGAGACTTCCTTCAGTCAATCGAGGTTTGTAACTCATCCCGATCTCGGTGATTATAGACATACTCATCAACTTGGCAGTCCAGCTTGTCCACCGACCTTGAGCCGTATCGTACTGATTTGAAGATGGCGGATTGTACAGGCAGACCAAAGGCTGGCTTCGCCTTTCCGGTGCGCACTTCGAGCAGCCGATCCCTCTGCCAGGGCTGTTCTAAGCTGGCAATGATTGTGGTTCTTGGCCGTCATGAATTTTGTCCATAAAACCACATTCTCAAGGTGTAAATTTGCAGGTATGATAGTGTCAAGGCTCGAAGATATTACCTGGAGATGATGTTCCGAGATGCTAACTGCGATCTGATTCCCTCGCTTCATAGACTTCCCTCCGCCAAGTCTGGAGACAAACATTCCTAAGTGGTGGCTCTCATTGACGCTAACAATGCGCAATTCTCAATTCTCAATCTCTTTCTCTCCGAAAACGCAAAGTATGGCGTAGCTTTTACGGAACGAGCGTATGGAGACTGGAGCAGCCCTAATTTGAAGGGCTGGAAAGATAAGCTCCTTGAGCGATTTCGCGTATACCCACGGAAAGAATGCGACTGGCTCGGCTGTGATCCTAGATGCGATGGACCTTCGATATTCTAGCCTGTTGAATGGGTTCTGTATTGTCCCAAGCGATAGTGATTCTATCTAGGGCTGTTCACGATACTATATAGTCATGGTTTTCCAATATCGGCAATAGTATCGTCAAACCCAAGGCTTGACTAT